GTCAATTCTGGAGAGTTCCAGTCTTCACCACAGTGACAGGAACCTTTGACTTAGCCATCAACCATCCTGCAAGGCCAACAAATAGCCCATTGCCTTTGACAGAACCTACATTCCCAAGGTTCCTCATTGACACAACGCCATCGATCTCGAGGTCACTTCCTGTGACAAACTACACGGGAAAAGCAGCCAATTCACTCGAAAGAAGAAGTCCGCTGGTCCCGGTACCAGGAGTCTCCGAGTGCACGCGAGACTTATTGGCTCGCACCCCTTTTGGCTACTGATACCAAGTCCTTTACGTCCGAAGACAAACCACTGTTTATCACCGGTGTACGACGATTATCTCTTTTCGAACGGGCTTATCGCTTTCAAACTCATTCAGCGATTTACACGGAACGATTGGATTTATTTGAAGTCCCGAGGCATATCTCTTCCAATCTTCTGTGCAGTTCTCGAGGGTCACGAGTTTCCGTCCTGTGCCATTTCAACGATTTCACGGAACCTCGAAGAAGCACCGTTCAGCCATCAAACGTCCGTGCAGTTTCGGTATTTATTACGAGTGCACTGAGTCAGTACGTGAGAGTCACGCGGAACATTTCGAGTTCTTTTTCGATCCTGGATTTGCGAAGACTTATACGACATCCGTTCTCCGTACCGGTTTTGTCCTGAAAGCAAGCCCACTTCACGTAACCGCTTTGTGCTCACATTTTAAAATTTTTACGTGGTCGAGTCATTGAATTCAGCGAAATCGCGATCTCCGAACGATCTATTGAAGAGGCAACTCGGAGCGATCACGAGACAAGGACGCGACTGTTTCGAGAGGGTATCGACATCACCAGCGGATCCGCCATCCTTTGTTTAGTCAGTGGGTAGCTCACCTTGGATTTTGGAAGCTTTTGTGGGGAGATTCATTGGCCCCAATAAGCTAGCTTCGCAGTGAGGCAAAATCACCAAAACCAAGGCAATTCCCAGCACCACGGCAACACAGGAAGCAGGCTCCAGACCCTCTACACTGGCTACCTTATTCAACTACACCTAGATTGAATTCCCAGGCTCCATAGCAAGGGTTCCTGGAGAGGTCATCTTTGTGGTTTCCTGATTACAGTTGAGCCAGCATTTATTTCACTGCAACAAGAGCTTGGGACTCCAAGTGTTTGCACCCAAGTTACAGCCTCACCTTCCTCCCCCCCCCCCCCATTGGCAGAAAGAAAGCAACCATGTCACTCTACATACCCCAGTGACTCCTCCACCATCACGGACAGGCCCGAAGGCTAGAGAACCAATGGAACAGGCTAGCCCAAGAACAACTAGCCACACTTCCCTACAACCCGGGAGGATACGGTTCAGGCCATCATGAAGAGTCTGGATGAGCAGCACACCTCTATCCAAGCCCTTGCACTACCCTGATAGTCTCATTGAGAGCGACAGTGGTGCATTCGTCAGCTGCTTGACAAGTCCCTTAGTCGAAACCTCGAGAAGATCAACGGAAAAGCAGCTGCCCTCAAGCAGAAAGCAGCCGCCTCCAGGACTAGGAGGCACAACCGGTACCACGCATCTCCAAGCGCGATGGTGGGGAATTGCCTGCCACTAGTGTCAAGCCCACGCAGCGGCGACTGGCAGAGGCCCTCTTTGCTTCCAACAACAACAGCAATGTAGCCACAGTTCCACCGACTGGGCATCCAACTCCCAAGTCAGACTGTGGGGAGTTGCACGTCATTCGCCCTTCGTCGGTGCCACAGAACCACCAGCCACCTTCCAGGCCAGCTTGTGGGGAGTCGCCAGCCACTTGTCCTTTGCAAGTTACAGCGGCCAACAACCAGCTGCCAATGCCACACCCTTGGTTGCTCCGGTGCAACCATTTGCCCTAGCTGGTGCTCCAATGCATCACTGGGTGATGGGGAGATTACAGAGCTGCCTACCTCCAGCTCCAGCAGTCACCCAGCTTCCACATTGGCTTATGGGAGGCCAGTACTGTAGCCCCCAGCAACAGTGATTCTAGCAGGACGATTCCACCATCCAAGGAAGTCCCGCCTGTAATCGATACAACAGTTGTCCCTTCCAAGCAGGACCGCACGTCCTTTGGTAGACCCACGACAACCAACCCATGTTGATGCCCCACGGTTTGCCCATCAAGGCGACACACAAGGCAACCAACGCGGTTATAGCAGAGCCACCTCTCTTTGGTACTCCCAGTGCCACCAGGCTCGTGCCAAATGAGAGGATCCCTTTGCAAGCAAGCGCACGCCAAAGCAGGATGCTTTCAAGCAGACAGCTTCTAGGGCAGGTGCAACAACCAACCTTGGCTGGAGCCCCAAGTGTCCACCATGTCGAACGACACCAAGGATTCCCAGCTTGGTCCTTCCCGGACCACCCCTCTTCGGTACTCCCAATGCCACCAGGCTTGTGCCGAATGAGAGGATCCCTTTGGCAGCAATGCCATCCAGTCGACCAATGGCTGACAGCAGCAACACAGCCACACTACAGGATGAGCCCGAGGTCCCAAGCACCAAGGCCTCAGTCTCCTCTGCCTCCAAGGCAATGTGGAGTTCACCAGTGTTTGGCATGTGGTTCCATCATGTGTTGTTTCCATGATGGCCATAGGATTGGGGCACTCCAGTCTGTGCTGCTAGCACCGTCCCTGGATTTCGGACGGGCAACTAGACTACGTCCCTGTCTGGTACAGCCCATCCATCCCATCCGTCAAGGGACATGATTGCGGGGCAAGAAGGCCGCTCCACTGAGAGCTTGCCGCCTGAATTCGGCCTGTGGCAAAACCACGAATATTTGTCTACATATGAAAAAACAAACAACAGCTATGATAAGCAACCAGCACCGCCGACACCTACCGAGTCTGGCCATGCTGATGAAGCAGGCAACCCCTTTGCCTACCTTTGGTCAGCAACCAACCAACCATGTGCAAGTCCCTCCACAGTTGAGATCCCCAATCTCACATTGTGTTCCACTAGCAGCGATGCTGAGTGGCCCATGAATGTTCCGTTCATGGGAGAGTATGTATTGTAGTTAGTTAGTAACTAATCGTATATCGTGGCATTCCCATGAGAGCGGATCCATACGCACTCGTGGGGAGCGATAACTTTTAGGAGCGAGAGCTCTGGATCCCGTCAGAGATAGCTCCAACAGCTATGCTAGCCTACAGCTCCAGCACCCGCAGCTGGCTTATCTCCAGCAAAGCAGCAAGAAAGGATCGTCCTTTCTACCATAGTTAAGAAAATAGTACGAAAGATTGAGACCGATCCTGATTAGCTTGTAGCCCCTTTGATACCGCAGCAGTTGATACCAATCCTGTTGAGGCCGGGCAGAAGCAGTAGGAGGTAGCAGATAGTACTGTTCCCAGACTGCCACTGCACGATTGAATAACGAAGGCCCCAGCTCCTGAGGAGAGCTGGCCCAAAGGGCCCAGCAGAGAGCTCTGCTGGCCTCCTGTCTGACTGACAGGACCAAGTCCTTGGTTTGGTGCCTACTGAGGTGTTGGAATACTCCTGAGGCACGACAAGGCTCCCTGAACTGCCTGACTACCGCTGTCCCTGAGGAAGGGTTTCAGCGAGGCCCAGTCCACTACTTGAGTATTGGAACTGATACTTCTAGAAACTTATTGCGTAAGAAGCAAAAGCAAGTCCAGGAGGACGTACGAAGCATCGCACTCGTACGAACATCGAATCTGTTTACGTACCCTTTTTTTTGGTCCATTGAGGCGTCCACTCCAAGCCAACGGTTCTGTGTTCAGAAGATTCAAAAATTGGCTTCACATTTTGGCCAGCTGTTCCGGCTCGCCGAATTCACTTTTGTAGTAAAATAATACAAAGAACACAGATTGGTCTCACTCACCAGATTTCAAACTGGGAACTGAGTTTCGAAAAGCTCACCATTTGCTTTGCAGGATTCCTTCGCACGCCGAATGAACAAACAAAAACGCCATTAGACCGAAAACACCACTCGCATTGTTAGAGAGCTCATTCTCTTGATGGCTGCTGATTGTGTGGTCCCAGAGCCAAGTGCGTATCTCTTGCTAATAGTATAAGGGAGAGAGTAGTCCTTGGTTCTAGGGCCATACAACCAGCAGGCATTGAGATTTATCGGCGGCAAGCAGCCGAATCGATCGCGGCAGAAAGCTTCGATCGACCGAAGAATGCGATTAGGTGGAGTGGAATATGGGCATTATTCCAATCACCAACAGGTCCCTACTACTATTAGAGACAAATGCTGTAATGGTAATGGTTAGCAAGGGGTATATTCTATCGACTACTATTAGAGACAAATGCTGTAATGGTAATGGTTAGCAAGGGGTATATTCTATCGATTACAGCACACCTTTAGCAGCAGCTGTCGATTCTTTTGTTGTTGTTGTTCTCTCGCGATTCTCTCGCGATAATTGCCTTTCCACGCACCAATTGTTTTTCACAGCCTAAAGCTGGCTTCTTAAGAATGGGCATCCATCTTAACCTCGGCAGTCTTGCTGCCAGAGCCCTCAACCGCTTTAGTTGTTTTCCTGCTTCGGTGATCCCTGTATGTATGAGGGTAGGGTTAGAATACAAATAAGTCAGCAAAAACTAAATAAGTATACTAGCTGGGATGGTGCCAACCAGCTAAAGCTATTTACATCCATCCCAGTAGGGGGTTCTGCTTCTACCAGGAAAAACTCTAAAGCTAACGAAAGCTATATAGCTAGTATTCTAGCTAGCTAGGGGTGTCTGCTTCTAGCTTGCTATGGGAATCTGCTTCTAGCTAGGGGGAATTTGCTTCTAGCTAGCTAAGCACAAGTTAAGCACAAGTTAAGCACAAGTTAAGCACTAGCTAAGCACTAGAGGTGTCTGCTTCTAGTTAGCTAGCTATAGGAGCAGTTTTCGCTGGCTTATTGCTATTCTAACCCTACCCTTATACCTTCAGGGACCGCCGTAGACAGGAAACAGAATTAAATGGGTTGAGGGCTCTGGCAGCTAAACCATCTCTAATTTTGCTATGATGCGGTCATTGCATCAGATTTCCTAGGGGGAGCAGAAGGGCCCCTTTGGGCTTGCAGTGAGGTCTGGGTCTGGTGTTGTTATAGGACATGCAGTTCCTAGAAACATTCTAAACGCGGCGAAGGGTGCTGGTGTGCTGGTGATTTTGCTGGCCCAGTCAGTCAAATCTCGGTTGAATTCTGTAGCCCCAGAAAAGGCCTCTTGGAAAGTAGACACCACTGACACATCCCAGCTAGAGATGTCTTGCAGACATGGAACCATATAGTGTTAGTAGTTGCTGCAAAGCCCACGTACGCAAGTAAACAACAAAATTAATGAAACATTTACCTTCATTGAATTTAATGGCACCCTTGAACATTGATTTCATCGTGCTTAGACTATTAGTCTTCCAACCAGAGAGTCCTGATCCTTGGAATGTCGATGCCTGAAGATTTTCAAGAACAGAAAATACAGTGTCAATTGAATAGCAGCATTGTTGATCCAGAACAAACTATCATGAAATACTTACACTTTGAAACATGCCATCAAAATCCTGCACGGAACTTGTGTCAAAATTGCTGAGATCCTGGTTGAATGAAGTTGCTAAATAGAACATGAGATTCATGCCGAGAACCTTGCTAGTGTCCCAGCTGGTGAGGGGCCTGTTAAAGGCAGATGCAGCACCAAAACATGAATTCATGTCTGTGACCTTGCTGGTGTCCCAGGAAGAGATGTCACCGTTAAAGGCAGTTGCACCATTAAGCATGTTACTCATTTTATCGACACTGCTGGTATCCCAGGAATTGAGATCTTCATTGAATGTAGATTTTTGATAAAAGAGAGCTGCCCAAGTTATGTGCGGATTGCATTGCCAAGTTAGACACTCGGACACAGCTTGAGCGAAAACGACATATCCAACTTACTGTTAAAGTCTGTGATGAGAGAGACATCCTGTTTGTGTTGGAATGAATGAAGGATTGATCAGCCAATTGGGAAAGTGTTAGACCAGTGCAAACCGCATAAGGAAAGATGCTGAGGAATAGATTTATCCAGGCCGTATCCATTCCTTACCCAGGTATCAATGGCACCTGACAAAAATATGGGTGAAGCTATGTCAGAAAATATGACACCAAGACACATGCAAACATGGTCCTCTACCCACATACCATATGGACCTGACGCGGAGAAATCGCCAAGAGAGAGAGCTGTATTCAGTGTTGGCCTAGTGAACACGTAAGGTCCCGCTGATGGGGGAGAAGATGGCAACATGGATGGAAATTGAGATGGGGCAGAAGATGGCAACATGGACGGAACTTGAGATGGGGCAGAAGATGGCAACATGGACGGAACTTCTGAGGGAGTGGTTGAGGGCACATCAGATGGGCTGATGCTGGGGAGCATGGATGGTTTGTCAGATGGATTGATGGATGGTACATCAGAAGGGGCACTGCTAGGACTCAAAGATGGTATATCAGATGGAGCAATGCTTGGTCTTGAGGATGGTATATCAGAAGGGCTGATGCTGGGGACCTTGGATGGCCCATTTGATGGAGTCCTGGATGGAATCATGGATGGACTAGTGCTCGGCTCTGAGGATGGAGCATCAGAAGGGCTGAAGCTGGGAACCTCGGATGGCCCATTTGATGGAGTCGTGGATGGAATCACGGATGGACTAGTGCTCGGATTTGAGGATGGGGCATCAGAAGGGCTGATGCTGGGGAAATCGGATGGCCCATTCGATGGAGTCATGGAAGGCCCATCAGATGGACTATTGCTAGGTCTTGAGGATGGAGTACCAGAACTGAAACTAGGAAGCATGGATGGTCTATTTGACGGAGTCATGGAAGGCAAATCAGATGGACTAGTGCTCGGATTTGAGGATGGAGCATCAGAAGGGCTGATGCTGGGAACCTCGGATGGCCCATTTGATGGAGACATGGAAGGCCCATCAGATGGACTATTGCTAGGTCTTGAGGATGGAGCATCTGAACTGAGGCTAGGAAGCATGGATGGTTGATTTGATGGACTTATACTGGGGCTTGAAGATGGAATGTCAGAAGGGCTAATGCTGGGGCTTGTGGAAGTGTCGGAAGGGCTAGTGCTTGGGAGCATGGATGGTCTATTGGATGGTCTATTGGATGGGCTGAAAGAGGGCAAGTCGGAGGGGCTGGTGCTGGGACTAGTTGAAAGCGCATCTGAGGGACCCAAGCTTGGCTTCGAAGATGGCATATCAGAGGGGCTGATGCTTGGAACATTGCTTTGACTGGGGCTCTCAGATGGCAACTTTGATGGGCTAGTTGATATTGTTGGACTTGTAGTAGGATTCCCTGGGGTGACTGAAGGCAATGAGGATGGAGGTGCTGTTGGGCTTGTTGAAGGCGATCCAGATGGGATGGTACTTGGAACATTGCTTTGAGTAGGGTTCTCCGACGGCAACTCGGATGGGCTGATTGACATTGAAGGACTTGTAGAGGGAATCCCAATGGTCAATGTAGGCATTGAGGATGGTCCCCCTGTAGGACTTGTTGATGGTGACAGTGATGGGATAACACTTGGTTCATTGCTTTGACTAGGGTTCTCAGATGGCAACTCTGATGGGCTAATTGATGTGGATGGACTTGTAGTAGGATTTCCTGGGGTGATGCTAGGTAATGAGGACAGGACTCTTGTAGGATTTGTTGAAGGGGACTGAGATGGGATGGAACTTGGAATATTGCTTTGACTAGGTTCTCAGAGGCAACTTTGATGGGCTTGTTGATTTGTTGGACTTGTGTAGGATTCCTGGGGTGACAGTAGGCAACGAGGATTGGACTCCTGTAGGGCTTGTTGAGGTGACAAAGATGGGATAACTGGTACACTGCTCTGACTAGGGTTCTCAGACGGCAACTCTGATGGACTAATTGACACGGATGGACTCGCGGTAGGACTCCCTGGGGTGACGCTAGGCAATGAGATGGATGTGCTGTAGGATTGTTGAAGGCGACTGAATGGGCTATCACTTGGCACATTGCTCTGACTGGCCTGTCCGACGGAAAACCAGATGGGCTAGAAGATATTGTTGGACTTGAAGTAGGATTCCCTGGGGTGACGCTAGGCAATGAGGATGGATGTGCTGTAGGACTTGTTGAAGGCGACTGAGATGGGATAACACTTGGTACATTGCTCTGACTTGGCCTCTCCGACGGAAAACCAGATGGGCTAGAAGATATTGTTGGACTTGAAGTAGGATTCCCTGGGGTGACGCTAGGCAACGAGGATAGGACTCCTGTAGGACTTGTTGAAGGCAACTGAGATGGGATAACACTTGGTACATGCTTGACTGGTTCTCAGAGGCAACTCTGATGGGCTAGAAGATATTGTTGGACTTGAAGTAGGATTCCTGGGGTGACGCTAGGCAACGAGGATAGGACTCCTGTAGGACTTGTTGAAGGGATGACAGTTGGAAAACCAGTAGAACTTTTGGATGGTGTCACACTTGGAAAGCTTGTTGGGGACCTTGTTACAAGAGTATCACTCACTGCTGTTGCAACAGCTGCACTACCTTGCATCCCCCCGTTGAAACCAGTGATGAATGAAGCTGAAGCAGTAGGTGTAGCAAAAAGACTTCCAACAGACAATTGCCTTGTCTGCAAAAAGAATTCAATCGTGGCCGACCCTGTTGTTTGCAGTTTTCGTCTGGCAAATCGTCTTTGAGGCAAGACAAGGCCTAGAGCCTCTGCACAGGAACTCTTGGAAAGAGCAGCATAACCAGATGAAAATGCCGACACTAACTCTTCATCAGTTAATCTTGTGACATCACCTGAGAATGACACATAGTAATTGCTCTCAACACTGACATATGGATCAATGCAGGCAATACTGGGGGGTCCAATTGTAGGACTGAAACTGGGAGACCCAGGTGTCACTGTTGGGATTCCAGTGCTTGGTGAGATGGATGGACTTCCAGGAGTCCCAGTGGGAGATTCTGTGGTTGGAGAGATTGAGGGACTTCCAGGAGTAACTGTTGGGATTCCAGTAGTGGGAGTAACAGAGGGACTTCCAGGTGTCACAGTGGGAGATTCAGTGGTGGGGGAGATTGAGGGACTTCCAGGAGTAATTGTTGGGATTCCAGTAGTGGGAGTGACAGAGGGACTTCCAGGTGTCACAGTGGGAGATTCAGTGGTGGGGGAGATTGAAGGACTCCCAGGAGTAACTGTTGGGGTTCCAGTACTGGGAGCAACAGAAGGATTTCCAGGTGTCACAGTTGGGATTAGTGTGTTTGGGATGGCACTGGGTGAAACAATTGCCTCAATGGAGGGAGCCGTGGTTGGTGAGATTGTGTTTGGCTGGATTGTTCCCTGGGTTGGCTGGATTGTTGGCTGGGTCGTGGGATCATCAGTTGGTTGCAGTGTGGGCTCATCAGTTGGCTGGAAAGTGGGTTGTGGTGTTGGGCTTTTCGTCGGTTGGGAGGTGGGTGGGTGTGCAGGCTCTTTTGTGGTGGGAAAGGTTTGAACAGAGGGTCTCGTTGGTTCCTTAGCACCCGCATTAGAAAATGCATTAAGCCTTGAAGAAGAATCTGGTGACAAAGTTACCACAGCCACCGGAATTGGGGCGTACACAGGGTTTGATGCTTGAGGTGCTGCATGAAGGAACTCAGTAGTACTTGAAAAAGCCAAAAGTGATGTAGCCGACTCTGGAGAGAGAATTCCTCTGTAAATTTGGCTGGGTGTTGATGGTACTCCAGGGAGATCACTTGATTGACTGATTTTGGAGGGCATTGCCAAAAAACTGGGTGAAGCGTTTGGTAACGCCAATGCTGGGACTTCTCCGGTAGTAGAACTGTAACTTGGACTTGAATGTGTGGGGATGGAGGGACTGGCATTCAAAGGTCCATTGGCTTGTTGCTTGAAAATAGGAGATGCAACAGGGCTGACCATAGCCACAGTGTTGTCAAGTCCACTGGGGCCAGATGCTTTTGAAGCACTTGGACCAGAAGGGGCAGCTGCTCCAACGCCCACAGGGCTCACTTGAGTCAACATCTCTCCTGGATTAGCAGGCATTCCATTGGTGGCCTCATCTTGTGGATGAGAAGCAGGAGCATTTGGGGCATGTAGATGACTAGCTGTTGCATCTGGAGAATTGCCACCAAAGCCTGTGACTGTTGAGGGTCCAGACCCACTTGTGCCAGAAAATCCAAGCTCACCTTGACCATTTGGAGTGGGCCCTGGCCCTGGGGCTCCTGCTTGACTCGAGGGCACTTGAGGAGACGGCTGAATGCCATCTGGAGAATTGCCTTCTGATCCAGAAGGACTTTGTCCCATGCTGCTAGTGGGGGCATTAGGAGCCAGCACAGAGGTAGCTGGCAAAATCCCCACAGTGTTGCCATTCAGGGCAGACATCGCATCTGTGTCATCCCCATGGCCATTTTCTGCGGGACTGCTTCCCGATTCCTCCCCATTTCCATTTCCGGTGCCACTACCACCCACTTGACTACCATCTTCTTCAGTACCTGTAGCAAAGTTATCATTATTGACCATGGGACTGCTTCCAGATGTGTCTTCGTCTCTACCTGCGGTGCCAGTTACATCCTCTCCACCCACTCCCTGTCCGGTCCCAGAATCAGTATCAAGAGAAGAATCACCATCCTCGGTGTAGCCCAAAACACTTTCACTGGAGTGTGGTTCATTACTGCCACCCAGTTGACTACCGTCTTCTTCAGTACCTGCAGCATTATTGCCAATACCACTGTTGACCACGGGACTGCTTCCAGATGTGTCTTCATCTCTGCCTGCGGCGTCGGTGACATCCTCTTCGTCTGCTTCCTGTCCAGTACCAGAATCGATATCAAAGGATGAATCGCCACCCTCTGTGCTGCCGGAAACAATCTCAGTAGAGGGTGGCTCAATACTACCACCCTCTTGACTACCGTTTTGTTCAGTACCTGCAGCAACACTCTCAGTAGAGGGTGGTTCATTGCTGCTAACTGAGTCAATGGCGGTGGCCAATACTTCTTGACAGGCTGGGACAGTTGGGGTCTGAAGACATGCGACCAAGACATCAGGGTCAATGGCTGCTCCATCTCCGTTGTCCTTGGCAGCAATAAGCTGTTGTAGCTGCTTGCACAACTCATCATTGTCCTTGGGAAGTTCTTGATCCTCAGCCGCAGAGACACACTGTGAGAGCGATGACAACTCGTCAGATATGAATGGAGTCATAATAGTCCCTTCGTTCTCTTCCACTGTCTCAACATAAGGCTGTATCACATCTTGACCAATGGAGAGAACAACTGCATTTTGCTGATCTCCCACACCCCCTCCTGGCAAGGCGGCCTTAGTAGTGGCAAAAACGACCTGCATCGTTCCTCTTCTTGCTGTCTGCTCTGGTCCATCTGTTGAATCTGCCTCAAACAACACTGGCTCAACATTGTAACCAAATGAGGCAGCAAACAAAGGAAAGAACTGGGATGCGTCGATGTTGGTTTTCAGCTGCAGGCTACGCCTAGACAAGCTGGGAACAATGCTGCTGCCATTACTTGCTGTGGGAGTAGTACCATCGGCTTGTTCCAAAGTTGCACTGCTGTTGGTGGTACCACCTAGATTTGTCTCGTCATTGTCTGGAAGCTGGAAGAGTGGCTCATAATCGGGACAGCCATCACACGCAACGGTGGCCATCCAGGACGTTGTTGTGACTGGCACAATGACTTGAGTCCGCATTGTCCCATTGGCTGAGGTCCCATTTGACGATGTTGGGGCAATGACATCCAGAAAAACCAAGGCATCTTCGGTACTCCAACCTTGGAGTTCGGCACTATGCAATACCCGTGAATATGGGTCCAAGCACATGCCAGTAATATTGTTGTAGAGATCTCGAAAGATGCTGCAGAGGAGGGGGAGAAAATGATTATTGGTGAGCATCACTAAAAGGAAACTCTCATCAACTCGATCATGACAATTATGCTTACCCTTCTAAGCTGTCCTTATGCTCTGGCAGGGCATCCTCTGGCATGCCTTGGATCTTCAATTCCACAATACCTTGCTTGAGTTCAGCGGACAGCGAACAGGTTGGGGGCACAAATGCATCCAACTTCACGACAGCAGTGGTGGTGTTGCTTGTAGGAGCGACACCCATACCAGTACTCACTGCTGCTACTGTTACAGCGGCAACACCAATAGTCACCCCAACTTGAGCTGCCACGCTAGCAGAGGCTACAGCAGTTGCAACTGTGGTTGCAATGGTGGCACTGGCAGCAGCTGTGGTGGAAGAAGAAATAGTTATGTCATGGAGCTGTGTGAGAAAAAGTAGCACATTGCCAAGGGCAACAAATGCAATCTTGGTACAGAAAACCAGGACAAGATTTGACCCAGAGAATCCCTCGTTAATTTGCGTAGCTTGCTGGGACTGAGCCTTACCTGCGGTTGAAGCTGCAGCAGTGGATGCTCCAGCTGCACTGACAGCGGCTTGGGTAGCCATTTGCCCAACCACAGCAGTGGCCTGGGCTGCTCCAGCACCGGACGCACCACCAGCACTGGCACTCGAGGCACTAGCACTACTGGCTCCACCACCAGCACCCCCGGTTCCTCCTCCTCCACCGGCTCCACCTTGACCCACCTGAGAGGAGCCTAGGTTGTTAGGGTTGATTGGGTTTGCTGCATCCGCTACATCCATGGCCATACCAGCGGCGTCATCCTCACTTGTGCCACCTCTGCACCTCTTCACAATGATGTTCCAGACAGCAGCAAGTGTAGCCAAGATGTATTGGAAAATTCCATTTTGGATTTTTTCCTCAATCAAACCATACAAGCCTTCACGAATGGCTCCTTCTCTTCCAGGGTTGGTACTGAGACTGGCATCCTCTTCGCCTTCCCAGCTGGTACTGTTATTATCCCAGGCATTGAGCTCGACCTCCTCCAGATCGACGTCGTCTACTTCTTCTTCCTTGTCCTTGTCGGACCCCTTGTCAAAGTCGTCGGCATCGGCGTCTTTGTCAAAGTCATCGTTACCGAAAGGGACATCCGACGCTCGGAAGGAAGCTTTCAAGCTGTCGAAAGGACGTTCAGAAGAGGGAGCAGTGCCACTCCCAAGGCTGGCGGAGTCGGTTGGGACGTTATTGCTGTTGTCGTTGCTGGCTGGCATGGCTAATACTTGATCGAGAGATAGTTGATCGAGAGATAGGCGGCACCTTGCTGGCTTCCGTAGATAATTCACTTACTCCAAACCCCCCGTCAAACAGATTATGCGTTATGCGGAATCGAAAGTGCGTTTACTGGAGAGTAGATAGCTAGTAGTAACGTTGCTATTCAGAGTGGAGTGTTGTTTTGTTTTGTGATCCTTGTTCGTTGCCTGCTTGGTTTGTATTTTCTGTTTTCTCCTTACTATTTTGAGGGCCCCGCACAGGAGCAGTAATGGCAGCAAGGAGGTCCAAAGGGTTTCGAGTAGCTTTCGCTCGAGAGTGGAGTTTATCAACCTATCGATGGCGTAGCTTCAAGAGAGCTGATAGGGCCGTACTTGAGAAAAGGGTGCGAAAAGGGAAAAAGACTTGCCTTATTCGTACGAGCTTTCGTACGACTGTACAGCGTACCGGTAGGGTACCGGTGGACCACCTCCCTGGTGGAAGCGAACAGATGTCAGAGGTTCCCATGACTGTTGGCAATTCGGTTGAGGGCATGGATGGAACGATGGAACAAGCTGGTGCGTACCAGCCAACCGATACCATCCGGTTTTATTTAGATCTAGGTTTCGGCCTTCTTGAAGAAGGAGTGAAACACTTTTACAGTGGTCATGCGTGGCCAATAGGTATCGTACCGTACTCCAAGTAGTCTACCGGGTATAGAAAAGAAGCTGCGACAAAGTTTTGGCCGGTTTTCAATTTTTGGTGCAACAGGCATAGCACGAGCAAACCCTTCGCTGCAGCTGCAGGTTTCATCCTAGGACAGGCATGGTCTTTGTGTGCACAAGCTGCACAAGCATAATATGTCATAGAGCATGAGCAAACCCTTCACTACCGGTTTGCATACTGATGGAACTGTATGGAGGCTGGAGGCAACTGGAGCTGTACCGCTGTACCAGTACGTACCTACCGTGGCTATACAGTGCTGTTTTGACGTTTTGATCGGGGTTGAAGTTCGCGGTACAGTAGCTTTTACAGTACACCTGGTCGCGCATGCGGGGGTGCAAGCTGATGCGACTGGGTGGTGAAAAAAATAGAGTCACTCCGAAATTTTAGTCACTTATCAAAACTAGCTACTAGCCAAGCAAGCTGTACGTACATGTACCATACCGTTCTGAAGTGTCCTCAAAAATATTGACACCGAAGTCCACGTACAATGTACCCAAACCCAGGCTCTGCACAGTTCTCGCAGCGAATCAGTACTGATGGCTACAGCGTACTTCTCCCTGGAGTCGCAGAAGCCATGCAAATTCACATCTCATGGCATCGAGATGATGGAGTTGATGTTGTTTTGTTCTCACCATGAGCAACCCGATATTCAACAAGAGCGGTCCATATAGAGAGAATTGAATTGACTAAACAGCATTGAAAGTGGAAAGCAAGTCCCCAAGACCATCTTCTGGTGTTTCCTGGTTTCTATTCTCTTTTTCTTTCATTTTGGATTGATGGATGATTTGATTCGCATACCAACAACAAACAACAGGTGAGGCCACCACTGGGGGCGCCCTGTTACACTCCAGGAAGCCAACCAGTTGGTCTATTTATACTACATGTACAGGAAACCAAGTTCAAGAGCTTGGGGATCACCGAAATCAAGCAGAAGCAACAATCAACCTGCCCGTTTTGTGTGCCACGAGGTAAGCCTCCACTCATAGACGTGTTCCTCTTACGGTGAACTGTTCGCATGTTTCGTTACTAACAACATCTCCATTTGCTTTTACATGTAGGAAAAGGTCTATTTCTGAGCATTGGCAGCACTGGATGGTGCCATCCCAACTCACAATATCGTGGCTTGCACGCAACGCGGCCTGGATCAGCATGAGTTTAAAACTAAAGTGGTGTGTGGTGTTTGGATCTTGAGGATGCGACTCCAAGAGGAGACTCGCATTGGATCCACTCTATCAAGGCACGAGGTTCCTGTTTGTGCTGTGTTGCAGGGAGTAAGATACAATGGGTCGTCCTTTGTAGTGTAGGGGCGATGCCATTGAAAAGTGGCTGCTCAACAAGTCTTTGTTTTGGCCAATCGGGCTACGAGAAATTCCACCACCATGGCCTTCGTGTTGCCGGTGACAACACAGGAACGAAGAAACACCATTCCACGCCCTAGGAAGCTAACAGGGATCACTGCATGGCCTGGAGGGAGCATTACGAGTGAGTATCGTACATATTTTTGATAGTGTCGCTACTGTTGGAGTTGACTGGATGGGCCTTTGTCAATTCTGATATCCTTTGTATTCTTCTTTGTTGATCTCTGTTCATCAGGAGTACCGGTAGCCTCGTTGCTTTCCATGCACAGGCCATCGCTTGTGGAATGCCAGCAATGCCGAGGAAGCAGGTAGGACGAGTTTCAGGCGCCATCGGGTCACCCGACGGCCAAAAGTTCTGCTTCAAGACGGACTGCAAGACTGCAACTCATGACACCAATGTGGGTCTCGTGCTGGAAGGTAACTTCTACATCGCGGCGAGGACAAAGGGCGGTGTCAAAATCCAATGTCAAGATCAGCACCAATGATATGCCTCTCGCACAGTCTCCCGGTCGGTATGGTCGATGGCGGGACAAACGAGCTCGAAGCCTGGCTGAGAAAGGACCATCCTCTCCAACACTTGATCATGGTCTCCAAGCAAGATCTTGGATGTTTACCAGCAGGACGTAGTCAAACGTATCTTGCAGTTGAAGGCACTGACACGGTAACATCGCATTTTGCTCTACCATACCAGAGGTGGTAGATTTGCTGGCGTCGATCTGATAGCTATCAGAGCGACTTGATTTGCGATAAGGAAGCCTTCCTGAGGAGATACAGCCCCTAGGAGTAAAACTGGACGATGCGGCAATTTGCAGTTTTGTGACGTTAGTTTCACGACTGAAGCTAACAGTCGTGGTTTGAAGCACGCATGCCTGTCATGGTTCGATGTGATCAGTCGTGCATTAGGCTACCGTTTAGGATACCGTTTAAAAATAGGCTACCGTTTTGGATACCGCAAACGGTTTTAGGAGACTATTTAGGATACTGTAAAGATTTAGGCTATCGTACAATAGCTTAAATCTTGTACGATATCCTAAACCTTTGAACGGATTGTTCGATTGAATTCCATTTTTGCCATCGTCGCGGTGATCTTGCTACAGCTAGCTATTACCCATACCACTAGCTAGACAGCAAGTCAACACCACCAGAAGACCAACAATGGCTAGTGATACAAGTAGTAGCAGCAGTGATGATGAGGATCTCATCATCTATACCCCTGATGAGATGCTGGTCGAAGCTTTGAAGCACCTCAATTTCACCGAAACTCGTATCAATAAACGCAAACGGGGCACCAACGAAGTCGAATTGCTCGCTCATTTCGGAGCCAATTCTTTCGTCCTGGCTCAGATATGGGAGGATATGCAAACGCATCCTTTGAAAGAGCATCGACTTGAGCCGTCAAAGAGAAAGCTCCGTGATTATCTTGCTGCGATGTACTTTCTACGTTTGTACGAAACAGAGCTCCCTAGGGCTTCTCGCTTTGGAATGTCCGTGCGCCAAACAAGAGACAATTCATGGCATATTCTTGAGAAGATGCGAGTGTTGAAACTGTGGAAGATTTGTTGGCCAGACGGCTACAATGGAGATGATACGTGGGCTTTGTCCGTCGATGGGACCCATTTTCGCACTCAAGAGCACCGCAGTGACACCCTCAACTTGGATCCAAAGATCTTCTCCTACAAGCACAGGTGTGCTGGTTTCAACTACGAGGTTGGTCTTTCTCTCTACGAGAGCAAACTCATTTGGTTTAATGGGCCCTACGAAGCCGGCACCTACAACGACATTAAGATTTTCACAGAGAAAGGACTCGCCAATAAGCTCGAAATGATCGGGAAAAAATGCATTGCCGATGGCGGCTATGTAGGGTATCCTCATTTGGTGAGCACCCCCAACAATCGATACGATTTGCCCGAAGTTCGCCAGTTCAAGAGCCGCGCCCGTCTTCGCCACGAGCGGTTCAACGGCATGATGAAGGTTTTCAAATGCCTTGACAGCCGTTTCCGCCACAGCAAGGAAAAGCTCCAGCTTTGCGCGGAGACGGTGGCTGTCATTTGCCAGTATAAAATGGAATTCGGGGAGCCGCTGTATGATATCTAGATAGAAATAATTTTCTATTTAGTTTGTCGTTGCTCTGTTTTTAATCGTCTGCTACGTTGTTAGTTGCCTACTACTAGTTCTGGTGACGACCGAGTCGATCTTTGGCACCGGGAAAGTTGGCCAATCCTTCCACTTCGCTCTGTTCCGTTGATTGTGTAATGGATCGTTTCTTTTTCCCCACTCCAGTTTGCAAGAGCAAATCGTTTCCATCGTTCAACTCTTTTTCCATATCGCTCATCATCTCATCAATAATATCTGTATCGTCTCCTCCCTTGTTGCCCGTGTCAGGCTCTAGATCGCTGAGTGAAATCCCACTGCTGCTATCGTCGGGTGGACCGGAGGGTGGGTTCGGCTGAGGCTGAGGCTGTGGGTTCGGCTGAGGTTGTGGGTTCGTTTTTGGAGCGTTTGACTCCATATCTAGAACAACAAATGTGCAAGAACAGAGATCTATTGTTAGTACGCTAGTACGTTCATTGGAGCCCTAGAACTCGTCTCCCATCGATTCACCTTCTTCGGCATCGTCCTCGTCACTGCTGATCCCCAAAGCCTGGAGCTTGGCAGCGTTCTTGCTAATCTTCTTGTCAACATCGGTAATCTTTCCCTTCTTTTGACCTTTGATGTCTGTGCGAGCAACGGTGAAGACACAATCCCAGTGGCCGGTTTTCTTTCCGACAACATTCACAAACTCACAGTCAAGCTCCTCGTCTTCGCCGGCATCAGCAAAGATCTCTTTCGAAGACAAGACGTGCCCATCAGGAAACTGCAAGATGAAGGTCTTCCATTTACGATCTTCGGGGCTGTCCTTGTTTTCATGGCGAGCATTTTGCATTGATCCGATGATAGCCCTGTCTACATCCGTGTTCTCCCAGGCTACTTGACCGTAAAGATGATGGTATGGCCAAGAGGGGACCGTGATCATGAGCGAATTCGAAGTGTAGACTCTAGCCTTGTAGTGGTCCTTGCTTCTATCTTTGTGCGGGTATTTTGGATGCATGGGGTGAGCGATCATGTAGCCAGGCACCGTCTTGTTCCTTGTCACGGATGGCATATCCTTCACCGCGTACACCATGAATTCGCGGTTGTTCTCTGGCCACTCAGTGTCAACCATAATCGTAGCTTTGGAAGAAAGACAAATTGGTGTAAGAGCATTGGCTGGATAAAAGTAGATACTCATTGCGGATGCCGCAAATAACTTACTCGGCTGGTTGCGATTGAATGGGGGACCACGGTCGCCTGACATCTTGCTGCTATCGTTTTTTGTTGGCTTTTTTGGTGGGGTTTCGACAGTGAGGCCAAGCAAGGGCTGCAGAAGCTCCGATGGGCTATTGGTTGTGATGAGCTCAGGCGGTCCAGAATCTTTCTTTGGTTTTGAGCGATTCTTCTTCTTGGGGGTGACTTTCCTCGGTGTGTCCTCGTCCTTCGAAGAGATACTACTACTCGAATCAGACTCTGCTCCTCCTTTTCGTTGCTGCCAAGCTGCTGCCTCAAATGGTATCACACCAAATTTGGAGAGCTTCAATAAATATTTCTCTCGTGGAAGGCGCTTGAGCTTTTGCACCCTGAGAGATAGCTTTCGGCGAGTCTCGTCTCCTCTGTATCCGTAAGCTCTCCGATCTCCTTTCTCCAGGATGTCCTTCTCTAAAGCGAATCTCTTGCCCTTCCCAATATTCTGCAATCCAAACCTTTCCAGATCCTTCAACAGCTGCTTCTCCAACCAATGCGGAAGTCTCTCGCGTGTCGCGGTAGAGCTTGTGCTTGTTCTACTCTTTGCACTCTTTCGACTCTCGTTGTCTGAATCCTCTGTGATTCTGCTTCTAGCAGTAGATGTCGGAGTCTTTGGTGTCTTCCGTCCTCCTCCTGGAGTACGAGGTGGTCTATTCGGAGATTGAAGATCCCTTCGGTTGCTGCCTCCTCCTCGTGTTGTCACCATTCTTGTGCTGCCAGCCCTCTTGCCTCGCGGTTTGGGGCATAAAAAGCCAGCCTGGTACAAAATCAACACAATATCTACGGCTGTGCGTGGGAAACAACTGTTGTTCTTGTGGGCTGGCTGCTAGCTAGTAAGGCGGTAAAGCAGTAAAGCGGCAAAGCGGTACGGCACCAGCGGCGCCGGTACTAGTAGTGGTACATGTAATAGTTCGTATCGCACATCCTGAGACTATTAACCCATTACATGCCGTGCCGATCAGCCACAAGCAACATGAGCGAAAACAAGGATAATGGCAATGAGAAGAAGAAGGCCAAAATCAAAGTTGATTGGAAGTATCATCCTGCTCGAACGCTGATACGGGATAGGTTTGAAAATGGCCAAATTCCTCTCAGTTACTCCATAGCTTCCGGTTTTGGTCCGAGAGATGTCTACGACTCTTTGATTGCGCTTGGTGACCCAGCAATGACTGGTGTTGAATACGATGAGGAGTTTACTCGTCATCTACGTGATATTAGACTGCAAATTGCGGAGTGCTCTGATAGAGCAAGAGATGACGAAGACGCCTACAAAAACTTTCGAACGAACCATCCAACACCAGAAGTGGATGGACGAGGACGACCGCGTTGGCAAGGCTCAGAGGCGGAGGTTTTGCTCAAACAAGATATGGATGATGGCATCCACAAGCAGTTTGACAAGCCCTCATCGTTCTATGAGTCCAGACCAGAGTACCAGAAATTTGAATTGGAAGTGTTCCGTGGGCACATTGATCAAGAAAAGCGCCTTCGCAACTACTACAATTATCTAGAAAAAGAGGAAGCAGAGGAAAAGGAGAAGCTGGAGAAGGCTAGAAAAAAGGTAACAGGAGGGAAGTAGAGAGCTGTTGGTGTTGTTGTCGTGTACTACTGCTTGGTGTGGTGTCGACATGCAAGCAGTGGTTTGGTCAAGACAACGACGACGACGTATTTCCGAATAGGATACTGTTTAGGCGATCGCTTAAAAATAGGCTACTGTTTAAGCGATTCGCACCGGTTTTAGGAGACTATTTAGGAGACTGCGTAGATTTAGGCTACTGTACGGTCGCCTAATTCTCGCCGAGTCACAAGTGTTGAAACGTGCTTGGGTTCAGTCGTGAATCCATAAGTCATTTTTATCAATCGTGCTAATTGCCGGATCGTCCTGACTTGAAGGTATTTTCTGTCTCTGCTTATTTGGAACAATGGTCTCGCATCTGCTTGCCTACTCGTAGTACCTTGGAGACTGCCGATGAGGGACGGATATATCTTCTGCATGTCCATGTCCAGTGGCTCTGCCGTGTCCATCTAGATGATCTCCTTTGACAAGGGGTGACGAAACCTTCTTTGGCATACTGCCGAAGATCCTTTGGTAGTTGCTGAGCACTTTCTCAATGTACTTGCGAGGTGCATAGCTCAATACTCCGTTCTCGTCGCGGAAGAAGTCACATCCAAGGTGGAAGCTGATGGCACCCGTTCCTTTGAGTTTGAACTTGTGCTCCCTTTCCAATGTCCTCGCAATGATCTTGAAGGCTGCTTTGCTGACGATGAGGGGGCCATCTACGTATACAGCAATGTACTCATAGTAGTTTCCCTTGCCTCGCATCCAGATGTCTGATTCGGCATTGGGGCCACCCATCATCTGTTATCCCGCAGCTAAACAGCCACTACTACATGTAGCTAGCTAGACCATCTACGGTCTAGCTAGACTGCGAGCGACCAGTACATGAAGCCCTACTCTAAACCCCTTGTAGAGATGTACATGTAGTATGCATGTGGAATGCGGAAACAGGTCTTCGAAGCAGATGCCTCAAGGTACCGGTAGGGAAACAAGCAATCTTTGAGGGTTCCTTGTTCCTTGACATGAATAACCGTATGCATACCAACCGCGCGGGAATGCTTCTCGTGCCAGCCCTTCGCCCGTTCAGTGAAACCCAAGCAGCAGACCTGTCGCGAATAGATGAGTTGGAGGACTTCTGCCTTGATCCGGTACCGGTTTGGCAGGCCCTTGCTCTCAGCTGGGCGTTGGTTTTAGACGTGTATGGTAACACTATAGCCATAAGGATAAATGAGGTGCTTGTCGGCCTGTCGGCTGTCGGTCACTGTTGTCAGGAAGCCTGTTAGGAGCGCTTTTGCAGCTGGGCAGCTGTCCAATCATGAACTTGTGAAGGAATGTGCAACTCGGTCAAATCCTTTCCATTGACAAGGGTTCTTATTTCCTTGCGTCGCACCCTCTCAGGAGGCCAGTGTGGCCGGTGAGCAGACTTGACTGTGGGAAATACCCGAGCCTTAGCTCGTGGGTAGTCCTCAAGCACATCTCGTCTGAATCCGTTATTAGACGTTCAGTTTTTTTTTCTTTTTTTCCTTCCAATTCTTCAAGGGGCACTGGGACTATGGCAATAAAGTATGAGCAGATGGCTCACAGACCCTTGTTGTGATGCTCGTCTGGCAACTTCAACTGTTCTATTGCTTATTTCTCTGTACGCTGATATGGACAGCCGCAGACTATCGCGGTCAGCAATGATCACTTCCACTCTTCCACTTCTTGCTCGCGCTTCGTACGAGTACTCATCCCTCACCACATGCAGGACTGACTCGACCCACGGTTCTCGCCCTCGACTTGGAATTACTGAGGAATGTAGCCAAAGGTTTGCTGCTGCAGCTGCACTTGAACGATGTCCGAACCTTTGGATCAACCTCGAGTAGTTGGTGGCCTTGGAGGAAGCAAGCTGAAGCCCAAGGCTACCGGTATCAGCACTGCAAGTAGCACCCCTCCTAGCACACGGCTTGTTGACCATCTCATGCCGGTAGCCATGTCTCTGACATCGAGCCGCTGCGAACCACCCTTGGCTCTCTGGAATGACCCCGGCTCCCGAGACGACAGAATGGCGCAGTTTCCGTTTGCACTTGCTTCCGACTGCTCATCCAGCTTTCCAGACTAGCTCATGGTGCCATTGACACTGGACGATAACAATGTCACGCCACCCTCCTGTGATTCCAATCTTCAGGGGGGAACTCGGCAGGGAAATGACCCATTCACTACACCAAGTACAGGATATGTGCTCATTGATAAACCCCCCAACGGAAACAAGGTCCTCAAGTCAATGCATTTCAAGAGAAAACGGTGCCAGGGTGATGTCCTGCCTCATGGCACTATTATCACGTCCCAGTCGTTCCCCCCGTTGACTCAACTACCCGAGCTCCAAGATATACATACCAGTGAGAATCCAAGCGGTGGCACCCGCCCTGAGTATAAACTTCCTTTGCCATTCTGTGCTCGGCTGAAGAGGAGGCGTCATTCACTACCTGCGGCGATGTCTCCGATGCCGCAAACAAGCTGCGCTGTCGACGACTAGCTACTAGTAGAGGAGTAGCCATGTCTCAATTGTGGATGAAGAACCCTGGGGTGTACCGTATAGGAAGGTGTATCGTCTATCCAGACATTTTGAAGAAGTACCAAGGACGGACAAGAGAGAAAGCATCAGTTCGTTGACTTCAATTTCTCAGAATCCTAGGCGAAGCTAGCTATCGGTAGCTTGCATGGAAGTAAAGTAATTTTGCATCAGAACAAAAGGTGGCTATCTAGCTAGTGCCCGCATCTAGATTTTCATTTGTCTGGCTATACCGTTAGGAGACTCCTGCTGGTGTACCGGTACTTGCGACCCCCAACAGATCACTCGAGACACGAGGAATACAACTGGCACAATGAGGTGAGCCAATCCAAGGCATGATCCCTGGAGCCACCGATTGATGTGGCTGTCGTCACTTGTACAGCCAGCAGTACAGACAAAAGGGTCTCTCCTCGTTCATGTTAACCTCGAGATGGCAGAAAGCGGCTTGTGATTTGGAAACTTGCTACACCATTGATGCGTCGCACCGCCCAAAACAGCAAATTAGATATAGGCGAAACGCCATTCCAATACTCTTCCATCCTGGTCACTACAAACTGGTTGAATTCCCTTGCATGCGGTAGTTGTTGAAGTTCTACATGAACCACCAGCAACGATTGGAGGGAAAACCGTCCACCATATCGGTTGTTCAAATAGTAGGTCAGGGCAATGGTGGAACCCATGGGCTCTACATGGATACAACGCGGGGGAGTTATCCATTGGGGGTTTAGCGTAGCCACGGCACGAAAGGCTTCTGTGACTTCCTCTTTTCCCACGCAAATGGCGGCTGGGTCTTGAAAGGATACAGAATCGGAAACGCCAATGGCGGGTACTGATAATCGTGTTGTTGTTGAGCTGAGACCCCGCCCTGTGTACATATCCGTCACCAGCCTTGTCACTGCTTGATAATGCCGCGCATCTGGAGCTTCTGAAACGAGACTATGGTCGCTATATTCTTGATGAAACAGACTGGATTGACCGCCCCAGTACCCTGTTCCATAGTGAATCGATGCGGTTGTCACAACGAGATGCGTCCCAATGCCAACGTTGATTCCAGCTACAAGACGCCTACCAAACGCTGTCATGGTAATGATCCCGTGTCCTTGGAGGTCTCTTCAGTTTGCTGTTATCGGTGCTTGGGAAAAACAAACAGGAGGAACACAGGCTCATTCATTGCGGCTCCCTCCACAGAGTGCTGCAGTGAGTCAGTCATCATTGGGGCCTGGGGGATGGGGAGAGAAAACTGCTTTTACGGCTTTGACAGCTTTGCAGGCCAAGAAGCTCCAAAGATTCCTCATACAAGGGGGTTTAGAGTAGGGAAATTATCTACGGAAGCCAGCCGGGGCCAGGCTTAAGCAAAGAACAGTCAAAATTCAGGACTAGGTTCTGTGGGATCAGGGGCAAGAAATGGAGGACCATTACGGGGGGCAAAGGGTTTGGCTTTGAGGGATCCACGGAGACATAAATGGGTAGCTTTCACAAGGGCAATTGAGATACGGGTCTGCATGAAGAACATCATTTGAGAGTAGGAAAATTGAGTTTTGGAGGCAGTAGCAGAAGCAAGGCGTTGTAAGAGAGCCTTGGCTTGAGGGGCAAGCATGCCATCCACTGAAACAACAAAGGGGTGGAAGGAAGCGCGATTGGACTCGCACGCGTCTTTATATTTGGAAATTTTGTCGCGTTCTTGTTGGGTTAAAACTTTGACGGGATCTTTGTTGCGGTAAGAGGCACAGTCCAAATCAGTGACACGTACATCAATAATAGCTCGTTCAAACAAGCCGCGAATGGAAAGATCACACGTAAGAGCTCGGGGGCTGGAGGGGGATTGAGAGGGGGGGGGAGGAAGGGGAGGTAAGGTAGAAATTGGGTGACCGGCAGGGATAGTAGGGGCGGGAACAGAGGGAAGGGGTGGTTCTGACTGGACGCTAGAGGAACCAAAGCATTCACATGCAATAGAACCAAGTTCATTGCGGATTTCATTATGGCGATGGATGATTAAGCCGCCGCGTTTGCAATCCAGAGCATGTGGAACGCTGAAGGGACCAGTACAGCCATCACAAAGAGCTGGAAGGGCTGGGGGGGGGGTAAGACCGAACCGGAGAAAAAGAGCATCACGCCATTCTTGAGCAGAGAGGTGAGTGTGTTTGGCAATATCGGGGATGACTGCAAGTCCTCATCAGGATTCGAGGCACAGTGTCGACGACGAGTGCCATGCATTGCAGTGATCGAGTGATTGCTGGACAGCCATCATCCATTTGAGTTTGTTTGTCTCTAGGTAGTTCCTGTTCTGTGCCACAGAATGTTCGACAATGAAGAGGATGGTTGGCTTCCAGCAGAGGAAGAAGAAGGATCCAAGAACCAAAATCTCGCAAACGTTCACGCCGTGGTTTGACACCCGACACGCCAGCTCGTAAGACGGAGAATGGAGGCTATGCACATACAGTGGACTCGAAACGGAAGATCAGCAAGGCGAACCGTGGGAACACACCTTGGAACAAGGGCAAGCTTCGTTCGGCGGCCGACAAAGCCAAGATTGGCGCGGGTGTCCGAGCCCGAAATCGTGCCATTTTGTTGGAAAAGTTGGCGCAGGTTGGCATGAGCGAAGAAGAATGGGTTGCCATGAAGAAACAATTGAAATATCTGAGAGAACGTGTCCGAAAAGCCAAGAGAGCCAAGAATGACAAGGCATTGAAAGTGCATCAGGAATCTCTCAAAGCCGTACTGGCTGTACAACACGGCGTCAATTCACAGCCCAGCATTGTCGAGCAGGAACATCGCACCAGACCCAAAAAGACTCCCAAAGAACCTCCCAAGAAAAAGAAAAAAGAAACTGTGGTTCCACACAACGGAAAAATTGTCACCCATGCAGGCAACAATGACAGTCAAACTGCACAAAAACAGACATCCAACCAGAGCAATACTGATGATCAACCCGCAAGGAGTCAGCAGATCGTGTGGTCAATCTGATTCGATTCGATTCGATTCATTTTTGAACTGTGCAAATCTTGGTCATTTACTTGACGAACACACGCACGATGGCTAATACTCGAAGAAAGCAACCTCCCCAGTTGAATTGGGGGAAGTCTCAGCACTTGGCCATTTCGTCAGGTCCCATCCCACACGAGTTTTCCAGACTACCAGCCAGCAATCAGTGCATATGTACAGTATCGTTCATTCAATGGGACCTCGCTGTTGACTTGATACTGTACTAGTATGCCAGAAGGAATTTGCAAAGTCCATGGAACCCCTGTCCGGAATCAAATGTCACTTGATTCAAGTGCTGGTCACTCAGGTGTTTTTGGATTGCACTGACCTGCTTTGTGGTTGCAATTGCACGTGTGGTCCCAACTACCGAGTCAACACGAACCAGGAGCAAAGTGACTTGTTCCGCATCCGAAGTTTTATTGCGGGATACTCTACACGGAAATGAAAAACGTCGAAACCATGGAGCTCGGCCTTTGAGGGAATGAAAAAGCCGGCGTGTTCATGCAGCAACTTACTCGAAATCAGCTCCGCGCTCCATGCCACGGTGCGCCTGACCCAGCACCATTCTTGTCTTGGGTTAGCGCCACTGGACCACTGAGGATTGCTGAATGGCCAATACACACGGTACCGTAGGTCCACAGGTGGCTTTCATCAACAGCGGCAATCTTGTTCTGGATGAGGCGCTCCCTGCTTCAAAAGGTGTGCCGGAGATTCTGACAACTCTACCTATCATTTCGGTAATGGCGATTCCCAATCAGCCGATGAAACCGCCTGAATCGAATCAATGCCAAGCAAACACCCGTGCGTCAACAGCAAACTTGAATCCACAACGAGCAAGCGTCTTTCAGTGTAAACTCTTGTTTGCTCCACTTTTATAAAAAAATCGAGGTGCCACGGGCAGAAGCAAGTTATCGGCAACAGGGATCGATGGAAAGCCACTGCCAATTGGGATGAGTCGAGTCTTTGGCTACTTGCTTCCACCAACGACTTTACTTTTCAAATACCGATGGTACCGAGTATCGCACGCTGAAGCAGTTCATCAGAAAAAGATGGGAGTGGACCCATGCCAAGTCGGAATTGTAAAGAAAGACGCGGGTAGCCCATGGAACAGTGTCGACTAGTGTGATCATTGGATTTTTTAACAGAGGAGAAAGTAGAAGGATCGAACGGTTTGTGCGGCACAACAAACGTACCGTACCATTGAACTGTAATGCATGAGTAATAGAAGCAGGAAGACAATTATGCTCTATCTATCTAGCTAAACTACAACATTGCTGGCAAGAGGCTTGTCAGCTACAAATAATATGGCACTGCAGTACCGTACACGTATGAGACACGCCGCAACGTTGCGGCCATTGACGGGGCCATCAAACAATTCGTGAAATTGGCAGACAACTCTGGGTGCACGATCGAGACAAACCCCAATTCAGCGCTCACTCCTTGATGTTGTTGCATCGCTCGTTGCCCTGGCATGGCACGCCGCTTTCTTTAGAACTTGCCAAAGTAAGTGCCCAGCCACCAAACCCAGATTAGAACCGGTCCATTTTTTTTCCAATTCTGTTCATTCGTTTGTTGTGAAAAAGCCATCCATGCAGTTTGGCTTTGCTCAGGTCTCGGGCGATGGTTGTTCTTCTTCGTCCGAGTACTTGTTCATTTCAGTTAGCGGCACTGGCTGACTACTATTGCTGCTGCTGTTGTCCTGTACAAAATCATCATCGTCTTGCAGTGTATTGTCGGCCGCTTCGCTGGCTCCTTCCTTATTGTTGTTGTTATCATCAGCCGCAATGTTGACCAGGATGAAACCGGCCAAAACACAAAGTGCTCCTGCTATGGATGTAAGCGACACAACGGCAGCATCCTGTGCCATCCATAAAACATCGCTGAGAAACGCCAGCGGGATGGTCAATCCCAAGCCAACCGTCGCCACGGTGGCACTGGTGAGTACGACCGACCGCGCCCACAGGTAATCACTCAAGACATTATCCAACAACCCCTTGACCACCAGGAACCCCAAGACCACCCAGGTCAAATCCGAGTGGTTGCCATTAAAGAGTTGATAAAACAAAATGGGCGACAATGCGACCATGTTGAACAATCCAATATACCCCAACAGTACTTCCATGGACATGAGGCTCTCGTCCCTTGGACACATGACTCGCACCATGACAGCATACGCCCCGTATCCCAAAGCCGATATCAATCCCAAGGCATCCCCAAAGAGGGCTCGTTCTTGACTCCAATCCGTCTGGTAGGCACGTCCCGCCAGGAGCATTCGAAATACCGGAATGGCATCTTCTCGCTCAATCTCGTCGATGGAAGTGTTGTTGTTCATGGCCATGGCCATCATGGCCATGTCAGTATTATCGTCAGTATTGTGGTGATTGGCGTCATGCAAGGCGGTACAGAGACTCCCTGTGACCCCCAACAAGACCCCTAGAAACTTGATACCTGTAAATTGTTCGTCTCGGTACAGGACGGCAAATAGGAACGTAAAGACAGATCCCGTGCTCGCCAGCACAGTGGAAGAGGTAATGGATGTGTATGCCAGAGAGGCATTGTACGTCCAATTGGCCAGGAACCAAACGGGAGCAATTTTGATCGCGGCCATCATGTGATCATACTTGGTCCATTTCAATGTCATTGTCGGAATGCCATCATTGTCTGCTTCGCCATCGGGTTCGTCTAGAGTGGCGCTTTCGCCAACAGACGGTACATTTTCGTATTGTCCTCTGTTGTCGTCAGTGATGATTTCAATGGTTGTGCTGCTTATTTCATTCAATGATCGTCGTCGTCGTCGTCCAAATATGGTCCTCAGAATCTGTTTCCCGTGTTCTAGTATCCACTTGGTCGGCAACAGCAGCGTGAATAGGGAGACTCCAATGTACGTCAACAAAAAGGGAGAGTCAAAACTCTGCTGGGTATACAGAAATTGGACCAAGATACTGGCGGCACTCCAGATCAACGAGACGCATAAAATGAAAAAGAGGCCCAGCGCGTACGGAGAGCAGCAGCCAAAACAGTAGGATACTGTCATGATGGTACGGAAGCTTGATAGAAATCAGTGATGGGTATAATAGTGTTCCTTTCTGTCTTGGTCTGTTCCTACGGTAGTAGCTAGCCTCTGCGTACTATATTCTGCTGGTCATGCCTCTCCTACAGCTAAGTGCAAGTTATGGACTGACAGTTGTCTTGGCTTCTAGTCTATTACTACTTGTCACGGTATCGTAGAACTCAGATGGCTTTTGGCTGTTGTTGTTGTGCGTGAACAGCGAAAACTGACTGAGGTGCGCTGTTTGTTCTTTGTTCGCCATTTTGCTACCTCGTACCGGTACCTTACAGAAGAAGTTGAAGTGTGCGTCCAATCGGAGCGGTACTGGAAGACAACTTTGGGTATGGTAAATGCGGTAAAACAAATTCTTAATACAAATATTAGGAGTCGATTTTACCTTTAACTCTAACATTACCGCAACTACCTATGTAGAATTGTAATTGCGGCACTGCCCAACTCTCTCTCCTCCATCAGCATTCCGGCACTGCCAGTATTCTTGGTTTTATTACTGTACGAACGAGTAGACTATCGAAGACACAACAAGAGTCGAGTCTCTCATCGTCACGCTTCCATTTACATGTACCGCTTCCATTTATTCGCCGAGCTCTCGTCTTGATCCGCTCTCCCTTTTCTTCCACAAGCGCTTTCCCTTTTGTAGTACCGTATTATTTTTTAAATTAAAAAGCAAACCCAACAATTAACAACAATGGGAACCAGTTCTTCCTCCAACGCTGTCGACGGCAGAATCAGCGGCAATGGCAATTCGCAGAACAACGCTGCCAGTCCAGCGGCGACAACAGACGCGGCCAATAACAACAGTACGTCGGCGGACGCTAACTTGTCGCGGCCTTTTGGTATTACGGAGCGCTCTCGCACTCTGTCGGCCAACGACCAGTTCCAGACCACCACTGTGGCACCCATACTAGTACAAGACGACAGTAGTGCTCCAAACAGAGGACGAGAGAGACAACGAGAGGCGGCAGAGCTTCCGGCGCGATGCATTAACCCTGCGTCGGATGTCAACGCTCGTCTCGACACTCAGGTAGAAGTTCGTGTCTATCCCTGCAACAACAACCAAAGCGGAGGAAAGAAAAAGTTCACCACCTTTACTATCAAACCAGAGGTAAGTTGAGTTGAGTTGAGTTGACGGGATGTGATGTGATGTATGCGACTGCCGTGGGTGGGTCATTCATTTTGGGATTGACCATTTATTTGGTGTTCTTGTTGCTACTGCCTGCGTTATTATACTGTAATAGGGAGTCATTGTGCAGGGTTCCAACCGCAACCGCAATACCAACGCCGTCGATATCGGAGCCGAGTATGCCCAGCATGTCGGGAGAAAACTTCAGCGCTATGAGCTCTCCGACACTCGCGCGTGTCAGTTGTTGGTCACCACCCATGCCAAGTCGTTTTGGGTCGTACCTGCTCCAGAGGCATTCTCTCGACACTCGGGAACCTGCCGCTTGTTGGGAGACCGCAAACACCCTCCTGCTCCTCAAACTCTCCAGGTGGGAGATTTTCTGCGCGTTGGTTCTGTCGGTGTAGTTGTCATTGAGACCCATGATGGAGTCGAGAACCGCATCTTGAGTGAAGAAAAAATTCAAAAGATTATGAAGGACACTACCAATACCAATGGAGGATTCTTGGACTTGGCCGAGACCGACGGAGGTGGGTAGAAATTAATTGTGTTGTGCCGCGGTCACTTTTGGGATCTTTGCAGTTGAAAATTAACCTGTCTTTGCACGCCTTGTAGAAAATTCGGATGATTCCATGAATGGTGAAACCGGTCCAGGCCCGAAAACTACCACCGGACCGTCGCCTCCTGTTGGATCCGTTCGAGAATTCGGCGACAATCCAGTCTGTTACATGTGCTTTGATGAAGAGGACTCGGAAGACAACCCCCTGATTACTCCTTGCAAGTGCAGTGGTGACACAAAGTATGTCCACGTGGAGTGCTTGCGAAAGTGGCACACTGCCGAGGCAGACAACCTGATTTGCTTCCTCTCCTCGGTCGATGCGACGTGCTCCGTCTGTAAGAGCACTTTCAAGTCCGATTTCAAACTCAAGGACGGTCGCCATGTCAAGTTGTTCAAATCATCTTTGGAGCCTCCCTATGTGTCCTTGTTGGTGGCTACCAAACACGAGATGGCCCAGCGTCTCTTCAATACACGTTTCCAGCTTTCATTTAGCACCCTTTTGAAGCCAGATGGCCGAAACGCCACGAGGCCCCTGCTTCTTGGCCGTTCTTCCGGATCCGACATGGTTTTGGACTACCGTACAGTTTCGGCTAGGCACGCAGCAATCCGTTTCAAGAATGGAGAGTTTGTTTTCACTGATGCGGGATCTTCCAATGGGTCTTACTTGTACCTACGCAGACCATTGGAATTGTCCCCGTCCCAGCCCGTACAATTCCGTCTGGGACGGTCAATGATCTCCATGAAAGTCGTAAACAAGTGGAATCGCCGTTTGCTCCGTGCCGTTCGCCGCACCGGACAGAGTGGATCCAACAGAGAAGTCCAGGAAGAGGAAGGCGAAGCGGATGATAGATCCATTGGAAGCAATGACGATGATATCCGTATCACCGATGGGAAGACCGGATTGGTCACAAAAACGGTGGAGCGCCGGACAAGGGACAGCGTGATGCGTGGTTTGCCTCCTCCTGGACAGCTTTCGCAGCAGTCTGCCAAGCATCTCGACTTGTTGTACGCCTTGGCTTACCCCAAGAGAGAAGCCAAGGAACTTGCCAGGGCTGCACATCCCAAGACCTTGGACGAAGGGGACGGCAAGAGCGAAGACAATGCTGTAGCTGAAATCGCAATGCCTCTGTAATCGACAACTGGTACTGCAACTCAGGAAACCTAAGCCAAAAAAGGAAGTCGAAAGATGGCTTAGGAAATGGTTTTTGTTTGGTCGACGATTAACGGTTGTTAATTTAGTTATACAGTACTGAAAGCAAAGTAAAAAGCAAAATTGAAAGAAGAGCCATGTGTTGTAGTGTGAAAAAAAAATCAAAGTATATTAACGGATTCAGACGAGCCGTGCTTGAGGATGACCCACCAGCCGAGGCCCGGGTATTGCCATCTATTTCTACGGTAAGCTGTTTCACTGTTCTGCACGTTGCGTGCGTGCTCTTCTCTGAGTACCTTGTCGACTACGGGCAGCCAATTGGCCAGTCACGCTTTGATGTCACCGGGGCCCTTTGCCATTTGCTCATCAAGAGGACGCTTGAAGATGAAATCGACCAGCTCCTCTGGAATCAGATCCGCCTTTTTCATAAATGAGCTCCACCTCCCGGTGCAAGTATGCATCCTGGTCCTTGGCCCATTGTTTGGCCAATCGTCCCCGCATAAGGTTGTCCCTCCCAATCAAGTTCTGAGCGTCAACCAGGTCCCGGTACCTGTCGGGGTAGTGCCAGGGATGCAGGAACCTGTTTTCGAAATGGTACTGTAGACCATCGAGAACGATCTCCAGACTGGATCCGTGCCCACCATACGAAGCATTGTGCTGATGGCACGCTGCATGGCCCCCCGCCACAGTTCCACATCAACATGTGGGCACCTGTAGACATGAACCTCCGATTCGTTGTCACAGCCACACCTTGGACACTTGCGGTCATACTTGGAATCGTCCCTGTGTACCAGCTTTCCCACCGGCAGCAGCTGGAACAGAAACTTCACGATGGGTGGCTTGTGGGCCTCGTGCCAGTTGCTTGAGCACCCAATCAATCAATTCTGGCGTATCCTCGTCCCATTGCTGGTTCTGATTGATCATGTGATCCAGCAAGGGTTGATCGTTGCGGAGATGCCGCAATCTTCTGGGAAGTTTGTAGGTGCAGGTCCCATTTGGCAGGTGCAGCTGTGCAAGATTTACCGGTAACCGGAGCCCATGGAGTGATCCACAAGCAAGTGCTGCTTCATGAAGCTGCCAGCAAGCTTGTCCGCCCGACAGTTGAGCTGAGCCTTCAGCGGCAGTGCGAGAGAATCCCGTATGCCTCGGCCCGATAGGACGTCGGAATCTGCCCAAACACTGGTCCAGAACATCCGAGCACAATATGACCCACCTGGTCCGCCAAAACCCAGGCAAAACTCGCTTTGCCCACTGATATATCTTGCCACCAGAAATGGTACTTTTATTGATACCAGTATGTACAAGCTGCGAAAAGGGCTGTAGCAGATAGAGCTCTAGCTAGATAGCACCTCGCTCCTTGAACCAGACCGGTACAGTACTGGTAGTATCATGGTTACCGGTGCACCGTTCTGCTATTTTATGTTTTTCAGCAGAACTTCGTACCGGTACCGTGTGAACCTTACGTAGCGTACGGTACGGTGGCTCGTACCGTACGCTACCGGTACGTGCACTGGTTCTGGTTAGGACAGAGCTAGATCATAAAGAAGAAGCCAGTGAGCTGGTTGGGGAACAGCGTGATGGGTTGGAGTAGTCACGGGAGTCTTGTAAGAGCAAGAAATTTCATCAAACTGAGGTTCGAAGTGGATTGATTTCCACGTAGAATCCCTACCAGAAAGAAGTCACTCTTGGGAGTGAATCTCTTGCATGAATGGGCAAACCTCGTCTCTATCTTTCGCCGTTGCCACTGTTGCCACTACTCTGTATCGACTGCGCTGGAGTTCATACTGTTGGCTGTTGCAGGAACTAATAATAAGAGTATCCAAGTTCCTCAGCCTGTATTTGCTCTGGCTGAGAGAAGCAGTATCATAGAACTGACCTGAATATTTAATTATTAAGAAGGATACGGTATATACCGATGATGATTCGGTTAGTGGCATTGATCCACCTAGAAGCCAGAAGGAAGCTGGGGTTGTTGTTGGCATCTCTGTGTTCGCTGCTGCTGCCCAAATTCCTTCATGACAAGTGTTTTTCCAGTAATCGACATTTAGTATTGCGCCGAGAAGAAGAGGGCGAGGGTTTGCCTCATCAGAACCCTCGCGTCAGAGAGAATACTAATGACACCATCATCCGAAACCACCCCAATCACAACCACAACCACAATATCAACCAAAGTCAAGACGATTTCCGAGTCTCCATTGTCAGCCGGAATGCCTTGTCCGTCGAGATTTTGGATGGTGGTGTGTCGCTCGAAGATGGAGTCGAAGAGGACGACATTCGAATACTACAACAATCACCATCAACCACCCAGACGACGACGAGACTCCAACGAGTCATTGCGACCACACTGCAACGGGCCGAACATCCGATTGAAAAGCTAGATCTCTTTGCCTCTCATTTCCGTGCCGATTTGACCGCCCACCGAATCCTCTCCATTCTGCAAGTGCTGCCACAGCCACAACTGCGGCGTCTCCAGCTGGGTGGCCTGCGCCTTCCCGTCCAAGAACTCTGTAAACTCATTGCACATTCACCACACCAATTGACGCATTTGGCACTCTATGATTTGGAATTCTCTTCTTCGGCTACCTCAGATGAGGATGATGTTGTAGAACAATTATTGCAACGTTCCTCATCATCATCATCATCATCATCACTGGCTCTGGAAGAGTTTGTCGCAGTCTTTGTCCGGCTGGAGAATCGCACAGTGACGTTGGATCCCCTGATCCGATTCTTGCAATCGGCCAATCGATTGAAACAGCTGGAATTGGTCATGGATCACAGTCATGCCTACATTCATGGGTATCCTCGTCAACAACCTCAACCACAGCTGCAACCGCCCTGCCTCTTTCAGCCCACATCCTTGCAGCACCTCTTGCAATCCACATGCCAGCATTTGGAGACTGTCATTCTGGAATACGTACCACTGGAGACAACGCATTATCAAGCCATGACAGACCATGGGGCATCCATCAAGCACTTGCGCCTACGGGATGAGCCCGGCTCCGCGACAACAGATGCTCGTATCCGCGCATTGGCACTGCTTTTGAAACGACATCGGGACACGTTGGAATCGATCAGTCTGGATGGACTTTGGGGGCAACAACAACAACAGAAACAGAAACAATCTATGCCAGCTTCGTCCGACCTATTCCGAGTGCTCTCCCAAAGTAGCTCGATTCGCACTGTGAGACTGCGGAGTCTACCCATGCAACTGGATGATTTGCGAACCTTGTTGCAAAACAATGCCACTCTGGATCATCTCTCACTGCACAGCATGTCCTTTTGTGGTGCAGCAACTACTGCAACAACCATCAGGGATACTCGCATCCACAACAACAACAACAACACTATAGTAGTATTGGAAGACGCGGTAGTGGAACAATCCGTCTTTTCCGTTCTGGTACAGATTCTCAAGGGGCGCAGCAACAGCAACACGGGATTGACCAGACTCTCCTGGAAACAAGCCGAATTTCGCAAGACAGAGGTCTTTCCACGACGACGCAAACCCAAGGCGTTTTATCGGCGGTACCCGTACCGCAAGAAAAAGATGGAGCAGCAACAGCATGATGATGACCCGCCATCATTGCATCAACAGTTGCACTGGTACCTGACCCTGAATCAAAGAGGGATTCGGAAACTCATGGTGGATGTCAATACATCCCGAGAACAGCTCTTGCAACAGTTAGTGGTGCAGCAGCAGGGGTCAAGACAAATGCAGTTCTTGGTCCCTCCGCCACAAACACAGCAAGCACGTGCTAGTAGCAGCATGACAAACCATGCACCACCAACCGCACAAGTGCTGATCCAAGATGCTTCCGAGAAGGAAAACCTTGACGAGTACGCATTGGATTGTATCTATTATTTGCTGTCCAATAATGTATCCATGATCTGTGGATGATGGCACTAACGAATAACCGTAGACGCACCAGCTGCGTTTTTCCAAGGTGGCAGCCACAGTTTTTAGTAGTATTTAGCTATCCCTTGCATTGTTTGTCGTACTATTGTGGTTATTTTGTCAACGACCATGGTCGTTGTCTCAATCATTGTGGATAATCTACCAACCAGCCAGTCACTTGTGTGCTTGTGTGAAGGGCGAATGGCTGTGGACGCCCAGCCGGGCGGATAATTGGAGGTGCAGCACAAATGAAACCCTGTCCCTATCCAAATTGTGCAAAAGAAAAGAGTTAAGATCGACCTTAGAATCTTCGGATACACCCCCTTTTCAACTCCCGCGGTTTCAACCATACATATACATCACCTACTTTCCTCGTGTTGACAAAGTTGTTTGCCATTCCTTGGCAAACCTCATAGCCATCCATCAGACATTCCTGTCAGTCAATCAGCTGTCACAGAAGCTAGGAGAGACCCTGATTGAGACATGATGCAACTATCGGAAGACGATTTGAACGAGGCGATGCCAGAGGAGGATTCCGCTGGTGATGTGCCGTCGGAAGATGGCGACGACCGATCTCCCTCCACAACGACAACCAACAATGGCAGTGAGGAATCTGTCAACGACGCTACCCAGCAGGATGTATCCAACATGGACTTTGACAGTGGTACCGACATGAATGGCTCTTTGGGCAACAACAACCAAGCTGACAACGACAACGCTAATCTTATCGACTCCAACAACAGCAGCAACAACAGCGACGCAGCCTTGGAGGCCCAACCAGAGGAAGATAACCATGATGACAATAATGAGCAAGAGCAAGACAAGAAAGCAAGAATCTTCAAGAAGAAAACTCCAGAATACTTGGCATTTGTGGAACTGTGCTACCAAAGGGGATGGTTCCACTCCACCCTCCCAAGATCCAGCGGCCCCAGAGCCGACCGAGACTTGGTGGCCTTTCTGGCAGCGACCGGATTCTCGCGAGAACAGATTATCCGCAAGTACCGTGAGTTTCAACGGTACATGGTCAATCAGGAAGCTCCCACAGAGTTGGCGTTGCTGGAAGCCATTCGAGAGGAATGCAACGACAAGGACAATAGCAAGAGCAATGTCATCCCTGTCAAACTAAAGGCGCCTCCTCGCAAGCCCAGCTACAAGGCTGTCGCTCGGGCAAAGAGTAGACAAGAACCGCAAGAGAATATTCCAATCAGCAGCCCCAAGAAACAGCAACAACTTCCCAATCTCCCTCCCATGGATCTCCGGGATATTGGTTATGTAGCGTCCTCGCCGGCCCGGGCTGCGAGTCCATTCTTACAACAGCTACGCAAAGTGGTGAGTCCAACGCCATGGGGAGCAGATCCACCACCATCTCAATTGCAGCGGTACCAAAGCTGGGTCAAGCCCAATCATCAGGGGGGTGCCGACGAGGCATTGCCCCCACCACCACCTGGATTGAAACGACTGGCCACCTCGGAGGTGACCAACTTGCTTCAGGGTCCCTTGTACCATCAAGAACCGGATCCCTCCATGGACGGTGGTCCTCCTCGATTTCCGCATCCGTATGCCGGAGGACTGGACCACCCGCAACAACAACAACAGGAATCCTATCCATCCCTCTTTTCCATTAGCTCTCTCTTTAGTGGCCAGCAGGGGGGGAACAATCCTACATTTTTGTCGAGCCACCGCCCAGAGTCCTCCTTTCCGCTCGACACTACCGCACATCTAGGGGCTTCCACACCGCTGCCGTTTTCATTCCCGCTGCTTCCATCGACCGCCGGTTATCATGTCAACCATAGTACTACTGCAGCCTTGGAGGAATGTGCCATTCCACGTTCCATCATCACCAAAGAGACCCACTTGTCGGTGACAGCGAATCATCATTTCCATCATCCAAAGAACAGCGGCGGGGACAAGATGCATGGTGGTGACAACACCAGCATGGCGGATGATGAGATGGCAGATTCTTCCTGGCAGCATCCTGATTCTACTGTCACAATTCCTCCAAGCAGCCACAATAGTACCGTCCCGCCCTTTCACTACTTTGGTTGAGCGAGACCACCGCCCATGTATGATTGCAGCCAAATGGATGCATTGCTCTTGCTTGCGTTACGGAGGTGGGATTGTCCTACTAGCTGGCTAGCCTTTTGAACAATCTTGACAAACGCGCTTCCTGCACGCAACCAGAAGATCGCTACCGTAGCCAAGTCAGCCCGTAAAAACTATATATACATAGGTTCATTCATTCATTCATTCATTCATGTAGCAGACTCACCACCAACTGGGCACTATACAGATACAATACAACCCATAGATGGAAGGAGAGGGACGATGATGGCAAGTTGAGCGGGACAGTAGACTACAGATGGAGCTCATGTTGTATGTAGGCCAATAAATGAGCCCTTCCATGCAAGTATTGCCATACAAGCACTGCAAAGCAACATCCTGAGGGATGCTACCGGTACCTAGTAGCTGGCTGGCTGGCTACTGTACGTATTATGGAAGGATCTATGCTATATAAAGACAAGAAGAGATACTGATATTATTATTAATTGACAAACACATAAACTTCCCTTGATTACATTATTATGATAGTATAAATGATAATGATGTATGCATTGTTGTGCTCTAAACCTCTGTGTCTCTTTTTTCTTCTGTCTACTCTAAAACCAAAACCCTAGCTAGTAGCTCCTACTCACTCACTCACTCATCATCATCATGCCGATCGAGATCGAGTAGGAGCTGTGGTTGCCAATGGCTTGCTGCTGCTATTGTTGTTGTTGTTATTGTTGGATTCCAATCGCAGTTCGCAAATGTTCTTTTGCAATTCATGCACACTAAACCACAGATCCGAATGTTGATCGCGACTGCAGGTTTCGTAGCAGTTGACTTGCGGTGGTTGTTCGCTAAAGCGTACTTTGGAGTCGCGACGGGTCATGGCAGCCGGCATACAGTCGGTCGAAGTCGAACTACTGAGGGTGGTGGAACTGGTGGTACTGCTCGTCATGGCGGTCAAACTGGAGCGTCGTTTGGTGGTAGTAGTACTACAGCAACCGCCATTTTGAGCAGATGCCACGACGGTAAAGGAGGCAGCGTAGACAATGTTCCAGTCATCGTCATCATCATCTTCATGGCTGGACAGGGAGTGTGCATCATCGTCATCGTCGTCATCGTCACTGAAGGATGCATGGGATGCGCAAAAGCCCGACTGATCGCCATATTCTGAAGGGTGCAAGTCGGCATCCCACGCGGCAAAGGGATCTCCCCCCAACGGGGAGTCCATGTTGCTAAAGTAGTCCGACAACGGCGTGTCGGTAGGGGAAGCAGCTGTGGTTGTCATGATCTATATATATGTATGTATATCCAATAAAATGACAAGCAATGGTGTGTGTACTGTATGGCAGGTAGTTGTATCGTGCCTTGGTGGAGTGGGGTGGAGTGGAGTGAGTGGTATACTGTAGAGTCTAGCTCTAGTGGCTCTTTCAATCTCTTTCTTTCTTTCTATCTATAAAGTGATGGGTGTCTTGCTGCTGTTGCTGCTGCTGTGGATGTTGGAGATGAATGATGGATGAGGGTAGCAACGGCGCTGATGCAGGTGGTTATATTGAGCTGGACGCGTTAGGTCGAATCGTTTCTCACTTCACACTTTGATTCGATTCATCGGCACACATCAACTTGAGGCTGAATCTTCCTGTTTCGCTCCGTCGGCGTTCGCTTGGCTTGCCACCTTCTTTGCTTCACTTCAACCAACACTGGATGAATGAGAAAGCAAAGCACACCAATGCGACGTGGTGAGCGCGCATCGCGTCGTACTTTCACCTACGTACGGCTACGACAAAGCATGAATGAATGAATGAGTGGATGGTTGGCAGCAACAGTTGGACCAATGAGAAGCGGCAGATGGCTCTGTCGTCCACAAAACAGACATCAATCGTCACTATCAACAGAGTATCAAAAGTCATAAATGAGGGAAATCGTCAGGCGAGACGAGATTCGTCTCTTTTTGTATTTTTGCAATGGAATGAATTCAATAGGGACATGGCTGTGAGTGGAGGGCTTTTTCAATCTAGTATTCGGGTAAGTAGTATCCATGGACTACAGTAGACTACTACATGTACCAGTAAATGAGGTGAGGAGACTTTAGAGCTGGGAGGTTTTCTCTAGCTAGCTAACAGTTAGAAAGCATGCGGGTATCTGCTACTCTTGACTACTACGGTAGCTAGCTAGCTTGATTACAGGCAAATACTGTAGCTCTGGCCATGGCTGCCAGATAGCGGTATTACCGTACGAGCTTTCAGTTTCTTCAAAGCCGGCTCCTACGTCGTACAGCAGCAGTCTACATACCGTACCATGTATCTGGCAGCTTGCAACACGTACTAGCTAGCTAGCTAGTATGCATACGACTGTACGGTACATGTCCGGAACCAACAACAGACAACAGCCAAATTTATTTCCCAACGGCAACTTTTGATGACTGACGTCATGCTTTGTGGCTGTGACTGACTCATTCCGGGAAACCAACACCATCAATAATCAAGTACTAGTACGCATCGACCTTCCGCATAGAATTAATTGAAGCATCCATCATTGACGCATTCGCAGGGGGTGTACGCACGTCCATCTTCGGACGATACTCTGTGAGCATTCGGTCGCACGAAGGTTCTGGCTAGCTAGTCTAGTAGTAGTGCTGATGCATGTATGATATGCCTACCAACTTCCTGAGAATGATGAGGTGTGCGAGAAAGAGAAACTATGGTGGCGGAAGCGCAGCGAAACAATGAGTTGCCTCAGCATGCGAGGATGTGCTGATCTTTCCGTCAGTACCTGAACCATCCATCAAGATTTGACCAAGTTAGTTTGCTGATTACAGTAGTAGCAATTCCAAGGAAACAAGATGAAGTCTGCAATCATTATTTGCCAACTTGCTTCCATCTGCTTGCTGTCGCGAGCGGCAGCATTTGCCCCTGCTGCAACCACCTACAGCGTCCATTCATCCAGACCGTCCTGCAGTCTGGCGGCCAAGGATGGTAACAACAATGATGATTTTATATCGACCGTGGCTTCTGCGTTGGACGGTGTGGTGTCCGGTGTGACCGGTTTATTTCCCACAACATTGCTAGCAGCATCAAACAACAACAACAAGGGCAATAAAGTTTTGGTATTGGGTGGCACTGGATTTGTTGGATCACGAGTGGTGCAACAACTCGAAAGTTTGGGTGTGACCGTGGTGGCGACTTCGACGGATGGACGTGACGGAACGGTAGCTCTGGATTTTACACAACAAGATCCCACTGCCATGCAACAAACGGTTCAAAAGTTAGCCAAGGGAAGCGTGGCGGTGGTGTCCTGCATTGGTGCCATTGGAACCGACAATGACAAAGCGATCAATGCCGGAACGGGGTATGCGGTTCAAGCGGCCAAAAAAGCTGGAGTGGATCGATTCGTTTACATTTCTGTAGCACCCGAAGTCAAGGAATTTGCTCAAGACTTTGATTTCTTGAAAGACTATTTGGAGGGGAAATCCTTTTCCCAAGATACCATTGAGAGCACAGCCTCGTTATACACAATTATTCAACCAACATTTATCCATGGAGGAGACGAATTCAAAATCAATCCACCGCGTGTTGCCGGATTTTATGGATCCTTTGTGGAAGCAGTCTTGTCGTCAGGTCCCTTGCGGGCATTGATGAATGTGGCTCCCGAAGGATTCATCAAGATTGCGTTGAAACCTCCCGTGTCGGTTGACGCTGTGGCGCAAGCAGCCGTTGCTGGAGCCCTTGGAGAGGTAGACGACAAGTTCTTGGACACGTATGACAAGATTAAGGAAACGGCAGCATTATTGTAGTGACTGGGTTTACTTCTACGGTATTAATTCGCTGAGTTTTCGTTCTCTCTTTCTCATTCTGCACCAAAATGACAAACAAATGCAGGATGCATTGGTGCCGTAGCTCTACAGCAGATCTCAAGTCTTTCTGTTCTAATCACACAACAAAAACGGGCAACTTCTTTGCTTGATCGCCTCACACGGTAACGGACTGTGGCTCGTCCTTCTTCTCCACATCCTCCTTCTTCACTTCCTCTTGGACTGGTGCTGCCGCATGTTCTTGCTCTACGACTACGTGTCCTCCTGCAGCGGGCATCTCTTCTGCTGCCGGTTTAGGAGCACCAGGATGTGCAGTACCAACAAGGGCAGGAGGAGGTGGTGGAACAGGTGCAGCTACCGCCACGAGAACTGCTTCCTTGGGTTTCTCCTCGACCATAACCGGAATAGTAGGCACCACTTCCTTCTTGAGGGCCGCTTCAACGAGCGCCTTTTTGCCCTTCAACTCGTCCGTGGTATCTTTGCGGACACTCCATACAAAGCCCGCCTCGTTCAGCTTTTCAAGACGATCGGGTGTCAAGAAGGAATGCTTGCCCTGCGACAAAAGGCGGTACTGCTCTCGCTGCTTGGCCACCCACTTGCCCAGTCCCGGGATTTCCTTGTAGTGCTGGGGTACTTTCTGTAGTGACAGGAGCAATGCAATCATTCATTGGTAAATCAAGTGAGATGTATGTGCCCATCCATGTACACAACCAACAATTCAATTGCTCACCGTGTCGCCATATTTCTCACGGTATTGCAGCAGCTCCTGGTACCGATTGTTCCATTCGGGACGGTTGCGAACAACCCACACAAACCCAAGCTATATAATATTAGGAAAGCCAAAACTGTGAGCCGCAGTCGTACATCGCAACTACTCTTGGATAAACATTCAGCCATCTTCAGCAACAATCCTTACCTCTTCCAATTTGCGTTGACGCTCCGGATCCAATACGGACGGCTTTCCCTGCATCATCAACTTGTATTGACGACGCTGATCAATGACCCAATCTCCAAGGCCCGCAAACTCGCACAAGCGGGGGACCAAGCAATGGCCTGATTCAATTCGGAAATGGGGAAAGACACGAGCAATCAGGAAAATGAATGAGAGATTGACTAGTGCCGGCAAGGCAAGATGAATCGAATTCACATAATAATCGTCCAGTTGACACACACAACACGCACCATGCTTTTTGTTGAATTCCTGAAGCTTGGCATAGTACCGATCCCAATGGGCGGCACCGCGAAGAGTGAATGGAAAGTTGATGGCATCCAACGCCGTGAGACGAGTCTGTGTCACGGCACTGACCAATTTGGGATCTTTTCGGTGTCGACGATACAATCGACGCTGGACATCGACCCAGGAATGCAACGGCTGGTCATACGTGGCCTGTACATGCAACGTACGGTACTGGGCCTTGTAGAGGAGTAGATCCAACAATCGAGCATTCCAAATACTATCTTCTTCCTCTGGAATCTCCAATCCGTCATCTGGTTCCTCGTATTCTTCCTGTTCCTTTTTGTAAATTGGCGTAGTGTGATCTGGTTGTGGTTGCTGTTGCTGTTGTGGTGGTGGAGGAGGGGGTATAGGAATGTTGCCCATGGCTGCCACGGCTTCGGCGGCAATGGCATTGTTGGAAATTCCCATTTCCTCTTGTTTGGGGAGAGGCGGTGGTTTGGGTGCCTCCATGGGAATGGAAGGAGCTGCCACTTCAGGAGGAGGTGGATGTTCGACCGGTGGTGCGGGTGCTGCCATGGTTTCCGTGGCCATGGCTGCCGCTTCTTTGGCTTGCATATTGTGCATGGCTTCGGCACTCTCCGCCGGGACTCTGTTTTGATCCACAATGGTCAAAGGTTCCCCATTCTCGGTGGTTACCTTATTATTGGCTTCTTCTACTAGTACCATGGGAACATTGGCTACAGCGGGTGGTTTGACCGTCATGGCTTCTTCCGCGGCCGCGGCTGCGGTGGCATGAGCTTCCACCATGGTTTTGGCAATTTCTTCTTCGGTGGTCGTCGTAGTGGGTTCTTCTTCGGATTTGGCAGCGGCTTCGGCAATATCCTTTCGTGGCTTTTTGATAACGGGAGGACCACCTTCCTCCACCGGAACTTCTTCCACTACTCCTCCTTCGGGTACTACTTCCATAGGTGCTGCGACTTCTTCATGTGGTGGTGGTGGTTGGTGCTCTTCGGGAGGAGGAGGAGGAGCCTCCACGACGCCTTCTGGTTCCGCAGGAGGAGGAAATTCTCCACCCTCTTCCAGGTTCATGGGAGTGGCCTCATCAGGCGCAACCACCGTCTCTTCCACCACATCCTCATCTAGGTCATCAGCACCCATTTCCGCGGCTTTTCGTTTCGATCTTCGTACCACAACCGACATGGTGCACTTTTCTAATTCTCACGATTGATGGATTGATGGAGTATCCACTTCTTCCGTTGGTGCTCTAACCGGAGCAAGAGAAGATACTGGTGCCGTCACGATGAAACCAACAGCACAAGGAGTGAGTCGTCATGTCGTCATTGGCATGCACAGCACATCCGTCAACAAACATCACCAACAAAGGCGACAGTTCATTTCACCGCGCCAGAGAAAAAGATCCAAAGTGCACCGAACACCACCGAGAGATCACTAGTAGAGCGTGAAACTCATCCTCCTCTTCCACAACCCAGCTCCTCCCATTGTCGACCTCCATTGTATCACCTACCTCGATCGAGTTAACCTTTCCAACAAAGCGTTCTTGATGGTACTGAAGGTTAAGGTTGATGGCGTCGTTGTTACTGTAGTGTTAGTGTTGGGTATTTGTTGCCCATTGTGGTGGAAGGAATGCGAGAGGGTTGGAGTTGGTTTGGCGGTCCTTTTGCTGTTTCGAAAAGGAGCCTACAGAGCTGATGCGCACGAGGCGAGCGTCTCCCGAACACATTTTGAACTGGCCGTTTTAGTTTTCAAAGAAACTCAAAACGAGGCCTTCAGGTTTTTGTCGGTGATTACGGTTTTACCTTCATCTTGTCGTTCAGGTCAACAGCAAGTTACATCATACACTGTGTGCTCTTTTTAAGCCTCTGAAGATATCGCCTTGCCACTCTCCAAATCCCAGGAGGAACCCACTCTAGCCATCATCTGCGTATCGTTGAAGCATCCTTGAAGCATTGGACATCCGTCGCGTCCGCAACTTCCTCGAGCATTCACTGTTTCTTTGGTTCTCTCATTCATCGTCATCGATATCATACAGTACTTAGCTATAATATCAATCAACCATGTCGGATCGTCGTCATCGTCTTCCCAAACTGACCAAGGAAGAAGCAGAGCTCTTCTCACAGGACCTCTACGACATTTTGGGCGTATCGCCAGGAGCCTCACGTAAGGACATTACAACAGCCTACCGTTCGCTAGCCAAAAAGTTTCATCCCGATAAGATTGGCGCTGGATCCGAAGATACATTTAATCACATCAAAGGAGCCTACGAAATACTCAAGGACCCGACGTTAAAGGCACGCTACGATAAACAGTTCCAAACTCGACCACGACAATCCGCACTGCAAAAGGCCGAACAACTGTTCCAACAAGCCCGCGACAATCTATCCAAGCAACAACAGGACGAAGTGACGCGACTCGCCCAACAGCACCAGCAAGAAATGGACCGTCTCGTCAAAAAGCACGCCACCGAAACCACCCGTATGAAGACTGAGCAGGAAATGATGCGGGAAATGTTTCGCAAGCAAGAGCAAGATCGTCAACGGGCTCAGGAACGACAAGCTGAACAACAAGCCGAAGAAGCACGACGAAAGCAGCAAGCCGAACGAGAACAACAAGCCGAAGCCCGACGAAAGCAAGCCGAACGAGCACAGCAAGAAGCACGACGCAAGGAACAAGCCGAACAAGCACGACGAAAACAAGCGGAGGAACGGCAAAGAAAGGCCGAGGAAGAACGAGCACGACGAGCACAAGCGGCCGCCAAGCGAGTATGGGAGGAGCAAGAAGCCCAGAGAAAGCAAGCTGCTGAAGCTGCTGCAAGAGCTGAGAAGGAAACTGCCGATCACATTGCCAAACTTCGAAAGCAAATGGCTTGGGAGGCCGACAATCGCAAGGTCGCAGAACTACTGAACGAATATCTATCCGCCCACCGTTTGGAACTGGAAGAGATGAAGCGATTTCGAGAGAAAGACCTGGAAGTGGCTCAAATCTTTTGGGAATTCGCTGCCAAGCACAAGGATGGCGAAGAAGCAAATGCATTCCCAGTGGGGTGGATTTATGTCAAGGAGAGCAAGAGCGAAGACTAGACAAAACACAATGAACACCGTAGGACCGGTAACAGATGATTACCATCGCAGTTTCATAGTAGTTCCTTCGTTTCGCTGCCAACCTTTTTAAAAGAGAAGCTCCACCGCTGACTTAGTTACATGTAGTAACTTTCTGTTGTGCAAATTACCTGACACTGGTCGCCTCAGCACCGAACACGGCCCTAATCTGTCCCGCGGCTGGGCCGGAATGGATGCTGTGGTTGCTGGGTATGAAGCCGTCCTGTCTGCAAGCTATTCTCGTTTTGACCACGGTTTTCACCGCCGCTGCCTTTACCGACCAATCAAGACAAAGCTGATCCAGAAAGTGGGCACTCCGACCCAAACCGGAAGACATTAAAGACGTCCCATTCTAGCTTACTCCGCACTTGCTGGACACAATGGGGCTTGCCAGGTTGACCAAAGGGTCCGATGGCTGTGTGGAGTGCCATTCAAGAAGAAATCACAACAATTGTTTCAGTCCGTTGTACAAGAGCACCCCAATGGTCGTCCCAACGGCATATCCAGTGATTCCCCAAACGGTGGCAGCCATGGTCAACCCACGTTGCCGAGGACTGTTTATTCGACCGGCAAAGGCTGCGGCGGTTGCAGGTCCCCCAACAGCCGCATTGGAAGCAATGAGAACATCTTCCAGGAACAATGGCCATTGGAACCATTTCTTGGCCACGAGGGAACCTAGAAAGGCAACCACCATGTGCACCGACAGAGCCAGCACGGAGAACCAGACACACTTGGAGCCCTGCAAGAGGACTCGTCCCATGTGGCAGGATGTGCCAATGGAAGCAAAGAGTAACTGCAGGCAAAACTCGGAAAGGTACCGTGACACGTGTTGGATCTGGCTTGCCAGTAGAGAGTGCTGATTGTTGTTGTTGTTGCCATGATCAGAAGACGACCAAGAAGAAAGGATGGATTGGACCGCCGGGGATACTAGTGCAATGGCAAGGCATGCCGCCCCCGGCAATATTGGTGCCACGAGTCGTTCAAATTGAGAAGAAAGTTTGACGATAGCAAGGGCAATGGTGGTTGCCAGCGCACCTGCCAGAGAGGTTTGGAGGATTGTTGCTCGAGATGATACAGCTGCTTTTGCGTCAACCTCGTCTCCTTGGAGCCCATGGTTCAGCAGAACTGGGTCCGTCTCAATAATGGGAGCTTCTGCTGCTAGCGATGACCCCCCAAACAGCTTTGTCAAACGCTTGGACTGTAGTGCCAACGAGAGTCCTGAAAAGTAGAGTGCCATGACCAAGGTATCCGCTGTTGCCATGGAGCTCACCAATGTTGTTGTGGCTTCCCTACTGGTAATGATTTTGGCCACCCCAAAGAAATTGACCGTGCCCCCAATAAAGGAGGCACACAGGCAGCTGGAAGCAAATGCGGCTTGCGAAGGATTCAACCAGAGCCGTGGGAACTTTTGACAGACCAGAAAGGACAAGACACATCCTATGATGGACCCGAGGCATGACATTAGAAAAGGAACCGAGACGGCTCGAATGACTTCTTTCTGGGAACAAGAGGAACCGTTGTCACGGGATATTGTTGCGTTGTTGCCTTGTCGTTGTTGATTGTTGTTTTTATTGTTATTATGAAATGAAATCAGGAGAAAAACGAGCGAAGCAGGAAGAAAGGTGGTCCAGCAAAGATCGTAGAGAAAATGCGCGGGAGGCGCCAAGGATAGATTGGAGCAGAGAGCTGCCAGAGCGATTGTGACTAGAGTGCCTGTATTGGGGAATCGTCTCTCGGACCAGCAACCTGCTAAAGATGATGTGACTAGTACTGTGGAAGCGGCAGCAAACTCTTGGTGGGGATGCATCATCATCATGCATACATGTTGCTGCTCATCAGAGTACATGTATGGATGCCGATTTCCAAGTCGAGTCGATGGTTTTTGAAATATTGACGAGCTGGTGTCTGTCCAGAGAGGTATTCTTCTTGTTCTTATTGGTGGATGATGATGGGAACTTGGTTGTTGTGGAGGTCGAAAGGATTCCGCTCGAAACAGTGTGCATGAGGCGACAAGAAGGAACAGAAGCCCGACTGGACTGCTGTAGCCAGTTCTTGTAAACACCATGCTTATTAGACTCCTTTGTTCATCATACCGTACCAATACCAATAGCAAGCAAGTCTATTCATCGCCCTCTTCAAGGTTGCACAGTGGTCTCGTGCCTCATTTTTTGATGGCCCCTCTATTGTGGTAGAAAAAAGATATTCAAAATGCCCACTAGCTACTTTCGGATTTGCTTTAATAAAAAATCGAATTAAAATATTTTTGCGCTTTGGCGCGATCTTTGGATCTTTTGCACTTGTCCGAACCATCCATAGAGCACTTCTTCACAACTTACTTGATCATTAACCACTAGATCTAACTGAAGTTATAATATAATATCGACACCATGAGCGCCGCATCGTTCGACCGCGAACGACACATCAAGTACTTTTCGCAGCACTTGTTGCAGCTTCCGTTTCCGTACAGTTCGCTGGATACCAATCGGTTGACGTTGGTCCATTTTGCCGCACACGCCTTGGATATGTTGGGTGTGTGGGACGACGACGCATTGATAGCAAAACTGGGGTTACACAAACAGAATATCATTGATTGGATCTACAATCTACAAGTCGTCACGGGTGCTCCCGAACAGGCAGGATTCACAGGAGGCAATTTTCTGGGGGTATCGTATGGATCTGCCGATCAGGAGCTACCCAACAATGCCTCGGTTGTGCTTGCCGAAAACTATCATGGCCATATTGCCATGACGTATACCGCCCTTGCCACGTTGGCCATGCTGGGAGATGATTTTTCGCGCGTACAAAAGGAAAAAATACTACGCGCCCTACAATCGCTGCAACGAGACGATGGAAGTTTCAAATGCATACCGTTGGGCAGTGAATGTGATACCCGATTCCTATTTTGTGCCTGTGCCATATCGCACATGCTCAATGACTGGTCGGCCGTGAACAAGGACAGCGCCATGGAGTTTGTCCGAAATTGTAGATCGTTTGATGGAGCCATTGCGCTCATTCCTGGACAGGTACGATATACGATACGAACAACATGACAATTATCAATCATTATTACCAAAAAGACAACACCATTGAACTCACAATTCATTCTATTATTTCCTCGTATGTAAACACCGAAATGAAATAAAAACAACACACACAGGAAGGCCACGGTGGATCTACTTTTTGTGGAGTTGCATCCTTGGTTCTCATGAACAAGCTGGACGAAGTGATTGATGATGATTGGAGAAAAGAGTTGACGAGGTGGTGTGTTACGCGACAGATTGGTGGAATGCAGGGAAGGTACGACGTTTGTGGAGAATGTATGTCGCAAAGGAATGACTGTTTGGGTACTTGCTTGATTTTGTTTATCCTGATACAATACAATCGTGCTTCCTCTCATTCATTCAATCAGACCCAACAAGGTAGAAGATACCTGCTACAGCTACTGGATTGGAGGAACGTTGCGTCTGTTGGGCCAAGACTCGTTTGCCTTGCTGGATCATCCTCCGCTGCGAAAATTTGTCTTTTCGTGTCAATCTCCCTTGGGAGGGTTCAGCAAAGCCAAGAATGCATTTCCCGACATGTTGCATTCCTTTTACTCCATGTCCTACCTCAACATGTCGGGGAGCCAATTTGATCAAGACGACCGAATTGCACTCAAAGAACTGAGTTGTACGCTGGGAGTTTGTCGAACAACGGCAGAAAAGTTTGGGAGTACTACCGATCATGCCATTCCATAGACTAGCTAGAAGCAAAACAGTATCTATCAGCGGCAGAAAACTATGATGCTACAAATAAACAGTTGAATAAGTCTCCCGTCGCCGAATTCAATCCCCCGACTGCATCTTGACTGCGAGAACAGGCTGGGGCTTTCCTGTTGTGCAAAATACCCGACCTTTGTCACGGAAGGACCAACACAGCCCTGTACCGTCCCGCTGCTGGGCCGGAATGTGTGCATACTAGCTAGCAGAGACGGGAATGGCTACGATCAGTTAGAGGGGAGTACATGTATTTGTGAATAGTGTTGTCAGTCAAGAGCAAATGTCCAGCGGGCAGGGAATGAAAACCAATGAGCAGGCCAACAGAAGGAGACCCCAGGCAGGGGAGGGAAAAGAGCAAACAGAGCCAGGGGAGGGAGAGGGCAGGGTCCCACTAGCGGTAAAGGTCCACGATCATCCCAGTGCCTTGAGCTCATTCGAGTGGATGCATCCTGACTGCAATCTATTTGCTCGCCCCCCGCCGAACTTCCCTACTCTAAACCCGTTACGGTAGACCGGTACGGTAGACCGGTACCACAGTGAAATTTTCTTTTGGACCACGCTTTTCGCCGCCCAGATGTTGACAGACCGTAACATTGGAAGCATTTTAGTTGCTTGATTGATACCATTCAAGTAGAGATTGAAGATGCTTTCCCCTACAAACGACGAGGCCTCAGAGGAATCTCGTGAATCGGAGGCAAGCGAGGTGGACTTACGGCAATCAATTTATGAATCCCTCCGGCAACTTATAAAGCCAGGCATGGATGTTCTCATTGATGGTCTCCAAAGCAAGCCAGAGCTCAATCTTACAACAGGCAAAGTGGTATCTTGGAGCAAACAGACCAAACGTTGGGCCGTGAAACCTGGAGATGGCAAAGCCATTCTTCTCCGTGCACAATGCCTTCTTCCCATCTTTCCGCAACAGGATGAGACACAACTGAGAACGTTGATGGCACAAACGGCTCAAGAGACTCAAAGCGGCGCAATGCGAGCCATGATGTTTGGAAACGATAGGGAAACAGCTTGGAAGATCATAGGAAGAGGATACCAGATCTGTCCATTTCTGATTTTGGATCCAGCCTTTGAGATCAATGATGCTTTTACAAGCCGCCCAAAGCTCGTGGATTTCGCGCGTCTGCTGCAGTGCCCCGTCTCGAAGCATGGTGACTACTGCATTGTATGCAGAATCAACAATGCATTGGAACGTTCGGTGCCAAGCTACGTCCCGACATCGAGCAATAATGTGATTTATTGCATTGAAGATCACGAGAAGTTTGAAGAAGACGAGATACCGACTGTCCATTGGTTCCTTCTCCTGATGCAACTTGACTGCGAGAACTGGCTCGGGCCATGAAATGTCTTGATCAGATCGTCCAAGGCGTTGTAAACGAGATCTGGCCGCTTTTCTTCTTGGTGGAGGCACTTCATTTCATGGCTCTCGTGGAATTTGGGCTAAAGGACCGAGAATCTTGCAATCGAATGTGCAAGCTATACTGTACGATGCGTATGCTCATCCGTTTGACCGTCATCGGTATGCCATGCGATGCCTTGCCTTGTGGGTAGAGGAGACGCCACCCGATGTCTTCCTAGAAGCAACTGGGAAAGAATCAGATCTCGGTCAGTTGCGCGAAGGCCTTTCACGGGTTTGGAGGTCCAATGCGTTTTCACAATCACCTTGGATCGAACAAAAGGTGGCTGAAGAGTTGGGAGCCAACTACGAAGGACCGTACACTAAGATTATTGATATGCTTGAAGAGCGGTGGTCCAAGATCGGAAGACCGCCTGAATTCGTCAAAGAGAATATGGCTGATCTTCGTAGACCTGGCTATCCTCATTTTGTAACCGTTCGTCACCGCATCTCCAAAAACACGGAGAGAAAGGAACAGGAGGGGCACGAGAGGATGCTTGAGAGGGTGTACGAAGGCTATTACTAGCTACGGCACTGCACCGGTATGCCGTGCGGTGTTGTGCGACACGATAGCCACGAGAGGGCAATGCGTCACGACACGAGCTCTGCAGCTCTCATGAGTTTGCTGACGGCTTTTGCTTTCTTCACTGGATGCTATTTGGACCACACCGGACCTTTCACTACGCTATAGCCACTATCATTGCAACATCAGAGCTGTGGGAGTGGAAATTGGTTCTAGCTAGGTGTGATTATATATATGAAAAGACTAATATTATGAATCTACAATGCCTGCAAGCATTAATTGCTTTGTAAAAAGCTCAAGACAAGATTCCCTGCTTGCTCTTATTACCTGGTACTTGTTGTGCAAACGATGCATGTATGATGTAATGGCCCTGTTCCGGAAATAGTCCAAGCCCAGAAAGGATTTTGCCTAGCTCTTTGAATGGCTGTTGCAGGCTTCTGGAACATAATGGCGTTCAGGTACTGTAGAAATTTTATTTTTTGTTTGTGTGTGGTGGAATTTTGCAGAGAGGACAGTTTGGTTGATTGTTGACGTTCTCCATGCTGGGACGGTGGAACCGGGATGGTCTCTCGGTCCAGAACATGGTACCTGGGACCGGTGTCACGCACAGCACCGGTACTGGTACTGTAGCACTCTTGGTGATCCTCCAACCCCCATGACGACCTCCGAACCACCAAGTTTCGTACCTCTCGTGTTTGTGAATGAATCATTTTGGTTTTCATTTTGAGTTGTTCCCGTTTGCCAAAAAGAGAAACGATGACGAGCTCCATTTTGTTTTTTTGATGTTTGACACCTCTTTCGTTTTTTATTTTGATGTTGACACCTTGGCAAAACAAATGAAACGATGCATTGAAACGACGTTCGTTTGCCTCAAGCAAGCTCTTTCTCTTTTTCTCGCTCAGCACAGCACAGCACAACACAACTTCTTCTTCCAATGCATGACGATGACACCTTTCTCCGGCGCTGCTTTTGCAGCCGCCCCTTCGGGGGCCCGTGGTTCCTTCGGGAGCCCCGTGGTTGAGACTCGCTGGCTTTGCCCCTGTTAATATACGCTGGGAAAGGTGTTCATCTTGCGGTGGTTCCAGCTAGAGATGGAGCGTACTCGTGCAAGGTAAGTCCAGTGTTCCTGTCTTTTGTGCCATTGTCGCGTTGTTTGCTTGTTTGTTTCACGGTCATCGACCGATCGTTGCAGCCTCATCCTCTTTAGTCCCCAACGTACCGGTAGGTCTGCTCCATGTTGACAATGGTGAACCGAAGTGACACGCATCATCCATTCCTCCCTGTCCAAGATCAGCCATGGCGTTCCTGCTGCTGCGGTGGTATCGTGGACTTTTGGAAGAGCTTTTGGAAGCCCTTTTTAAACCGTCGAAGCTGAGATGCACGTCCGGTCGGCCGTTTCCTGCGTTTTTGGCAACTTTTGATCCCTGACCTTCGCCACCGCTGTTGCACGTTTCGAAGCTCCTTTTAAAAACCGTCGAGGCTGTTTGAGGTCGGCCCTTACTCCTTCACACACTTCGGACCGCATGATTGGGATTTTCTCATCCTTGGTCTCCCTGGTTTGACTGCTCCTTTTGGCAATCTCGCTGACTCCTTTGGCATTCGCGGGTTGGTCGGCTCTGCACCGGTGTTGGAAGTCAAGCGCAAGTGTTGGTGGTTCCCCTCTGCTTCAGTGTTGTCATGCAAGCCAGTCTCGGATGTCATACGTTAGTCTGTCTGTCTAGCTAGCTTAAAAATACAATAGTTTCCTCGTTAGTAGTGGGCTGCTGGCCAAGTACTTGGCCAGCATTGCTTCCACGCCCTGTCCTGGTGTACTAGTCGTTCTTCTTCCATAGCCTGCCGTAGCTAGCTGAAGCGACGATCATTGCAACATCAGAGGCAGTGGAAATATCTTCTACATGTACGTGCGATTTATGAAAAGAGGACTATATTATGAATCTAACAATGCCTGCATACATGAGTGTCTTGTAAAAGCTCAGCAAGACAAGCCTCCCTGCTTGCTCTTGAGCAGCCACTACAACCTGCTTGCAAATGTTCTTATTAATGAATGTAATATGAAGGTCTCACATACCGGTATCGTCCGGTCTTGCCCAACTGTCATTTTACACCCTTCTGAGAGGCAATGCTGGTGGCATGGCGCTCGAAGCAAAGGTGCTCGTACTGCTATTGTCAAGTAATAAATCGTTTTCCGATGCCGACCGCGACCGGGGTCTATAATCATAGTCACTGTCTACCCAGGAACACTCAAACGCCATGCTCTCTTCCTCCTGGGATCCGGTGCGGAGCGGGACCAACTCCACGACATGGATGCCATTCGTCCTAATCTCCTTGACATGATGATACTTCTTGGCCATCTTGTAACCAACCGCGCTGCAAGACTTGGTACTCAATGGGAATGTTGCTGCTTCAGTGGATGTTGGAGTCTTGGGCTTGGTCATGGGGAAAAAGCTGCTCTTCCTCTTCATCATCATGTTTCTCCACGTTTGTCGAGATTGTGGAGGAGGAGACGATGACTGGGAAGAGCTCGACGAGGAACACATGAGAATATCCTGTCGTTCGAACAAGGAACTCCTGGACGTCAGTGTCGTGGTGGTGGGCATCATCACCTGTTCCTCTGCCAGTCGCTCCCAGCTATCATGCCAACACTTGAGCCCATTCTGCATCTTAAGGAGGGACTTCGAGATGGTATCTCCCACCCAACCTGACGATGCCGTCGTGTTGAAAATGGATGTCGAGATTCGGCCTTCCAACGGGCTGCAAGCCCTTTCATTCCGTTCCAAGAACCCAAACGACTCGTAGCAAAAGTCATCGGATTGATTGACGCCACCACCAGAAACTCCATCCGTGGCCATGAGGATGATATTATCTTCCTCATCGTTTTCCGTAGAAGTAGTTTCATCCGACTTGGTCAAGGAGAGAATGTCCATGTGCAGATCATCGTCATCGTCATGCATGAGGCTGTCCAACATGGTCCTGCTCGAGTGGTTTTCCTCGTTGGGTGGTACTTCGTTTGGCAGTAGAGATTGTGCTTCTTCCATCGTCCAGGGCATTTTCTCAAAGACCACCAGCAGACAAGGAGACGACAACAACGTCTTTTGAGTAGAAGACCAAGTGGAGTGTCTTCGACGATATCGATGAGTTGTGCATGTACATGCATGTCTTGGGGAAAGTTCCATGTGCATGATTATTCCGTTGAAAACTGTTTCAATTGGTAATGTAACGACGAAATAAAACTCGGATTTTGGTGCAAACGCTTGTTGTGTCAAGCGAGGGCTGTAATTAGCAACTACAGTGCCGGTAGTGTACATACAACATGCCATGTACGGGCTATAGATAGTCAATCAAACCCTAATGAACGGGTTGGCACATGGAGTGATTGATATTCCAATTGGAGCTATGCATAGCTATAGCTACTCCACCAGGGGTCGTCTCCAACCTGCTGAGAGTGAAACACTCCAAGCTACAGCGTAGCTAGTAGGGTGAGTTTCAGTGATGGCTCCTCAGTGATACACTATTCGTCAAAGAAAAGGGGGAACTCACAAGATCTACCGTATGATGAGACTCCAGCTCACATGTTACAGAGGGGGGGGGGGGGGGCAGGAGTATCCTTCAATTCTTGAATACCAACCCGTTTCTGTCTCGCTGAGGTGCAAAACATAGATCAATTTTCGGAAGACTCTGACTGTGAAATATTCTCTGCCCTGATCGGAAGCTGTCCCTGTACAACTAACAAAGCTAGGAAGGGGAAGAGAGACGGAAGAGTTGTCCACACAAAGAGATGCATTCCATGAAGTAAGTGTTTTCGGATCCCATTTTCCACGCCACGGTGTGATTGCTGAACACTCGGGACTCACTCAGAACAAAGGCCAGACCAGATCTGTGAGCCGCAACCCCATGACGATGACAACCAAACAACAACGCAACAGCTCAAAGCTCAAAGCGTTTAGCGAGGATAGAATGCAATAGAGACCCTGCGGTAGTCTTGAGCTTTGAATGAAATTTCATACTAGGACACGACAACTTACTTACTAGCTTAGTCTGATTGTGCCAAAGTCTGTGGGGCGTTTTGAGAAAGGTCTTCAAACCACCAGAGGATAGAAGTGTCTGTTTCGAGGACAGCCCATTGATCCGTTCCGTCTCTTGGTCAGTGCCGTTGTGAATGTTGTGAGATCTGTACAAGTGATCAGCAAAGAAGTCAAAGATCCTCTGATCTAGGACTGGTAGTTTGGCTAAACTTGACTTGACTTGGCTTGAAGCTCCAGGGAAAGATCCAAATCATCTCAATCTAAGCGTGGGAAAGAAGAGAAGAGCTTTTGACCATGTCGGATCCACCCCCGCCGCCCCCACCACCGCCAGGCATGCCGCCACTGCCATCAGGCATGCCGCCACCGCCAGGAATGGCTCCTCCTGGAATGCCGCCGCCACCCGGCATGGGGCCTCCGCCAGGGATGGGCCCTCCTCCTGGCATGGGACAAAGCATGCAAGGACCGCCGCCTGGTATGCCACCGCCTGGTATGAGACCTCCAGGAATGCCACCGCCCGGCTATGGACATCCGCCCGGAATGCATCACTATCCAGTTCCGCCGCCTGGCATGCCACCCCCCGGCATGGGAATGCCTCCGCCAGGAATGCACTATCCAGCCCCCGCAGGAGCCGATGCACTGCCTCCGCCTCCCGGCATGATTCCGCCACCCCCCGGAATGATGCCTCCAGGATTACAACAGCAAACATTACCAGGAGACGCTCCGGTCAACGCCAGACAACCCATTACCATGGAAGAAAAATCCAAACGATGGGCGAGATTGCAGTCCAAACGATATGCGCACAAAAAGATGCAAACCTTTTCGGCTCCGCAAAAGGAAAAGTTACCCGCCGATTTCTTACGCAAGATTCTACAAGATCACGGAGACATGTCCTCCAAACGCTATCAGAGTGAAAAACGGCTCTACTTGGGCGCTCTCAAATACGTCCCGCATGCTCTCTACAAGTTACTCGAAAATATCCCCATGCCCTGGGAAGGCTACAAGGAAGTACCGGTGTTGTTTCACATGACGGGAGCCATTTCCTTTGTCGATCACGTTCCCACTGTGATTGAACCCATTTATCGTGCTCAATGGGGAACCGCGTGGCTCTTGATGCGACGCGAAAAACGCGATCGACGACATTTCAAACGCATTCGATTCCCGCCGTTTGATGACGAAGAACCCCCTCTGGATTATGCCGATCATTTGCTCAATGTCGAACCGGGAGAACCCGTTCAGTTGGATATGGACGAAGATCCACAGTACGAATTACTGGCGGATTGGTTTTACGACACGGAACCACTGGCCGATGTCAAATCGTATCGCGACACGCCATTGGCGGAACATGTTCATGTCAATGGACCCAGTTATAAAACGTGGCGATTGAGTACTCCCATTATGGCGCAATTGTATCAATTGGCAGAACCCTTGTTGAATACTGTGCCCGATCAAAATGTCCGACATTTGTTTGACTTGCCACACTTTTTGACTGCCAAGGCACTCAATGTGGCCATTCCCGGTGGACCTAAATTTGAACCGCTGTTTCGAGATGTCGAAGAAGATGAAGATTGGAATGATTTCAATGATGTTACCAAAATTATCATTCGACAGCCCATTCGGAGTGAATATCGCATTGCCTTTCCGCACGTGTACAATTCGCGGCCGCGCAAGGTACTCATGGCACCCTATCATCATGTCCCGTCGTCCTTTGTCGGAACGGGGGATGATGATGACAATATGGATGATGACGAAGATGTTCTTTGTTGGGACGCTTATCCGTCTCAGTTGTCTCCCATTTTGAGGTACAACAATTCTCGCAGTGGACGATCGAGTAATAGTGGTCCCAGGGATGAGTTTGAACAAGACGAATTCTTTTTGCCATTAGTGGGAGACACAGGAGACGATGACGGCGATGACGAGGATAATGTGTGGAATCAATATCCCGATAGTCGGGATATCCACCATGCCTATTGGGATCCTGACGATGAGGAAGTGTTGGCGGCAGACACGTTGGTTCCGATTTTGGACGAAGCGCCGTTGGCATTACCCACGACTGCTGGAGGTGTCGCCCTTTACTGGGCGCCACATCCATTCAACATGAGAGCAGGTCGAACTCGCCGCGTCATTGACGTGCCTCTGATCAACCACTGGTTCCGTGACCGTGTGTCGCGTGATTTGAAGTATCCCACCAAGGTCCGCGTGTCCTATCAAAAGCTTTTGAAGGCGTGGGTGACGAATCAGTTGCATGCCAAACCGGCCAAACCCAAGACCAAGCGTGCTCTGCTCAAGTCGCTCAAGAGCACCAAGTTCTTTCAATGTACTGATTTGGATTGGGTAGAATGTGGACTGCAGATCTGTCGTCAGGGTCACAACGTTCTGAATCTATTGATTCATCGCAAGAGGCTCAAGTACTTGCATTTGGACTACAACTTTAACCTCAAGCCCACCAAGACACTCACCACCAAGGAGCGTAAAAAGTCGCGATTCGGTAATGCGTTTCACTTGGTGCGAGAGATTCTGAGGCTGACCAAGTTGGTCGTTGATGCGCATGTCCAATACCGACTGTCCAATATCGATGCCTACCAGCTGGCGGATGGTTTGCAGTATGCCTTTAACCATGTAGGACAGCTGACGGGAATGTACAGGTACAAGTACCGTCTCATGAGACAGATCCGAACGTGCAAGGATTTGAAGCACTTGATATACTACCGCTTCAACACTGGTCCTGTGGGTAAGGGTCCTGGTGTCGGGTTCTGGGCGCCCAGTTGGCGTGTTTGGATGTTCTTCCTCAGGGGAATTGTCCCCCTTTTGGAGCGGTGGCTGGGAAATTTGTTAGCGCGTCAATTTGAAGGCCGACACTCTAAATCATTTGCCAAGAATGTTACCAAGCAACGTGTCGAGTCTCACTTTGACTTGGAGCTGCGAGCATCTGTTATGCACGATATCCTGGACATGATGCCCGCCGGAGTGAAGCAGAACAAGTCGCGAGTTATCATGAGTCATCTGAGTGAAGCGTTTCGCTGTTGGAAGGCAAACATTCCTTGGAAGGTGCCGGGGATGCCCGCGCCAATCGAGAACATGATTCTCCGATATGTCAAGTCTAAGGCGGATTGGTGGACGAATATTGCTCACTACAACCGTGAGCGAATCAAGCGGGGAGGCACGGTGGACAAGACCGTTGTCAAGGTAAGCAAATTGATTTGCGCGAGTCAAACAGGATTTATGATCGCATTGCTCACTGTCTGATTTATTCCTCTTTCTGCATCAGAAAAATCTTGGACGTCTGACGCGGCTTTGGTTGAAAGCTGAACAGGAGCGTCAACACAACTATTTGAAAGATGGTCCGTACGTGTCGGCAGAGGAGGCTGTTGCCATTTACACAACAACAGTGCATTGGCTGGAATCCAGAAAGTTCTCGCCGATACCCTTCCCACCGCTTTCGTACAAACACGACACCAAGCTTCTGATCCTGGCATTGGAAAGGCTCAAGGAGAATTATGGACTCCAAATCCGGCTCAACAGCGCGGCCAGGGAAGAATTGGCGCTCATTGAGCAGGCCTACGACAACCCGCACGAGGCTCTGAGCCGAATCAAACGTCATCTACTGACTCAGAGGACGTTCAAGGAAGTGGAGATTGAATTTATGGATATGTACGAGTACTTGTCGCCAGTTTACACCATTGAGCCTCTGGAAAAGATCACTGACGCCTACCTGGACCAGTACTTGTGGTACGAAGCAGACAAACGCCATCTTTTCCCGAACTGGATCAAGCCAGCCGACTCAGAGCCTCCACCGCTTTTGGTGTACAAGTGGTGTCAGGGCATCAACAACCTGGAGAACGTTTGGGATGCTGATGACAATGGCGACAGCGTTGTGTTGCTCCAGTCAAAATTCGAGAAGTTCTACGAGAAGATCGACCTGACCTTGCTGAATCGGCTTCTGCGTCTGGTTGTGGACCACAATATTGCAGACTACATGACCGCCAAGAACAACGTCAGCATCTCGTTCAAGGACATGATGCACACGAACAGTTACGGGTTGATTCGCGGCTTGCAGTTTGGTTCCTTCATCGTCCAGTACTATGGACTTGTTCTCGACCTGCTAGTTCTTGGATTGACAAGGGCCAGCGAGATTGCAGGCCTTCCTCAGCGTCCTAACGAGTATCTCACCTTCGCAGATATCGAGACTGAGATTTGCCACCCGATCCGCCTCTACACGCGCTACTTGGACAAGATCTACATGCTGTTCAAGTTTGATGCCAACGATAGCAAGGATCTGATTCAGCGCTTTCTAATCGAGCACCCTGACCCAAACAACGAGAACGCCGTCGGGTACCGAAACAAGAAATGCTGGCCTCGCGATTGCAGGATGAGGCTCTTGAAGAGGGATGTCAACCTGGGACGTGCTGTCTTTTGGGACATGAAGAATCGACTTCCCCGCAGTGTCACTACCCTTGACTGGGACAACTCCTTTGTGAGTGTATACGGCGCTGACAATCCGAACCTTCTCTTCGACATGAACGGATTTGAAGTCAGAATCAAGCCAATCAGGGCCGCTAAAAGCGACGCATTTGGAGACCAAGGAGCCTCAACAACCTACAAAGATGGCGTCTGGAATTTGCAGAACGAGACAACCAAAGAAATGACTGCCCAGGCGCATCTCCGTGTAGAAGAAGAGGCAGTTCGAGCCTTTGACAACCGCATCCGGCAGATTCTGATGAGCAGCGGTGCCACAACCTTCACCAAGATTGCCAACAAATGGAACACCGCTTTGATCGGGTTGATGACGTACTATCGCGAAGCAGTGCTCAACACTCAGGAACTGCTTGATCTACTTGTGAAGAACGAGAACAAGATTCAGACCCGAATCAAAATTGGGCTGAACAGTAAGATGCCTAGTCGCTTCCCTCCTGTGGTGTTCTACTGCCCCAAGGAGCTCGGGGGATTGGGAATGTTGTCGATGGGACACGTCCTTATTCCACAGAGCGACCTGAGATACAGCAAGCAGACAGAAATGGGAGTGACGCATTTCCGCTCCGGTCTGAGCCACGATGCTGATCAGTTGATTCCAAATCTGTTCCGTTATCTCCAGCCATGGGAAAGTGAGTTCGTCGATTCGCAGCGTGTTTGGGCTGAGTATGCTCTGAAGCGTCAGGAGGCCAATGCCCAGAATCGACGCTTGACACTGGAAGATCTTGAAGATTCTTGGGACCGAGGAATCCCTCGAATCAACACTCTCTTTAGCAAGGATCGACACACTTTGGCCTACGATCGTGGTTGGAGGCTTCGGACTGAATTCAAAATGTACCAAGTTCTTCGAGTCAATCCTTTCTGGTGGACCCACCAACGTCATGATGGAAAGCTGTGGAACTTGAACGCTTACCGTACGGATATGATTCAGTCTTTGGGAGGAGTCGAAGGTATTTTGGAGCACAGTCTCTTCAAGGTATGAATATGATCGAGGCTCCCTGTCGTGTAGCTCGCTTGGATTTTTATGCATATTTGAGCTCATACTTTTTTCTTGCTTGGCAGGGTACCTACTTCCCTACGTGGGAAGGTTTGTTCTGGGAGAAGGCGTCTGGTTTCGAAGAGAGCATGAAATTGTAAGTTGGTCTTGTTTTGATTTGATTTGGTTTGATTTGATTTGGATAGCTCGAACGAATCATGACTAACGGTTTTGTCCTCTCTTTCCTTCCTTCAGCAAAAAACTGACGAACGCGCAGAGGTCAGGTTTGACACAGATCCCGAATCGTCGCTTCACGCTTTGGTGGTCTCCTACGATCAATCGAGCGAATGTCTACGTTGGATTCCAGGTCCAGTTGGATTTGACGGGGATTTTCATGCACGGCAAGATCCCGACACTGAAGATCTCGTTGATCCAGATCTTCCGGGCTCACTTGTGGCAAAAGATTCACGAGAGTATTGTCATGGATATTGTACAAGTCTTCGATCAGGAGCTTGATGCGCTCGAAATTGAGAGTGTGCAGAAAGAGACGATCCATCCCCGCAAGTCGTACAAGATGAACAGCAGCTGCGCTGACCTGGTCCTTTTTGCTGCCTACAAATGGCCCGTCTCAAAGCCAAGCCTGCTCCACGACACGAAGGATAACTACGACGGCACCACGTCCAACAAATATTGGTTGGACATCCAGCTACGATGGGGCGACTTCGATTCCCACGATATTGAACGTTATTCTCGTGCCAAGTTTCTGGACTACACCACCGACAACATGAGCATCTATCCCTCGCCGACTGGGTGTCTTTTGTCGCTGGATCTCGCGTATTCTCTCTACAGTGGTTTTGGGAACTATATTCCGGGTGGCAAGCCGCTTCTACAGCAGGCAATGGCCAAGATCATGAAGGCGAACCCTGCGTTGTATGTACTGCGTGAGCGTATTCGAAAGGGCTTGCAACTCTATTCTAGTGAACCGACGGAGCCCTACTTGAGTTCGCAGAACTATGGAGAGTTGTTCAGTAACCAAGTGATCTGGTTTGTGGACGACACAAACGTGTACCGTGTGACAATTCACAAGACGTTCGAGGGTAACTTGACGACCAAGCCTATCAATGGCGCCATCTTCATTTTCAATCCGCGCACGGGTCAGTTGTTCCTTAAGATTATCCACACGTCCGTGTGGGCAGGGCAGAAGCGTCTGTCTCAGTTGGCAAAGTGGAAGACAGCCGAGGAAGTCGCCGCTCTTATCCGTTCTCTGCCCATCGAGGAGCAGCCTAAACAGATCATTGTGACTCGAAAGGGTATGCTGGATCCGTTGGAGGTCCATTGGTAAGTTTTTGATTTGAGTCCGGAAAATACCAACCCCTTGAGTTGCTCGATCTAACCCTCTGGTTCTGTTTCTTGCGTTGGTCAACAGTTTGGATTTCCCCAACATTGTTCTCAAGGGTTCGGAGCTCCAACTTCCCTTCCAAGCAGCGCTCAAGGTGGAGAAGTTTGGTGACTTGATTCTCCGAGCTACAGAGCCACAGATGGTGTTGTTCAACATCTACGACGATTGGCTGAAGACCATCTCTTCATACACGGCATTTTCACGTCTGATTTTGATTCTTCGCGGCTTGCATGTAAATGTCGACAAAGTGAAACAAATCCTGCGCCCAGACAAGAGCGTCGTGACTGAACCCCATCACGTGTGGCCGAGCCTCACCGACGAGCAGTGGATCAAGGTGGAAGTTGCTTTGAAGGATCTCATCCTTGCGGACTACGGCAAGAAGAACAACGTCAATGTATCCAGTTTGACGCAAAGCGAGATCCGTGATATCATTTTGGGTATGGAAATTGCCCCTCCTTCTGTGCAACGACAACAAATCGCTGAAATTGAAGCGCAAGCTCGAGAACAATCCCAGATGACTGCTACCACCACCAAAACCACCAATGCTCACGGAGAGCAGATTGTGGTGACCACGACGACTCAATACGAAGCCGCGACATTTCACAGCAAGACAGATTGGCGTGTCCGCGCAATCAGTGCCACCAATCTGCATCTCCGAACCAAGCACATTTACGTGTCCTCGGAGGACATTTCGGAGGAAGGGTTGACGTATGTGCTGCCAAAGAACATCTTGTCCAAATTTATTACCATTGCCGACCTTCGTACTCAGATTGCTGGATACTTGTATGGCGTGATTCCACCCGACAATGATCAAGTCCGTGAGGTGCGCTGCATCGTCATGGTGCCACAGATTGGCAACCACCAGAGTGTGACACTGCCCAAGAAACTTCCCGAGGACGAAATGCTGAAGGACATGGTTCCCTTGGGTTGGATGCACACACAACCGAATGAATTGATCCAGAATGGAGTGCAAATCTTGCCCGCTTCTGACGTCGTAACGCACGCATCGATTATTGCCGACAACGACGGTGCATGGAACGGCCAAGATGAGATTGTCATCACAACCTCGTTCACGCAAGGTTCGTGTTCTCTGACGGCGTACAAGGTGACAGAATCAGGTTTGGGGTGGGGCAAAAAGAGTCGTAACATTGCCGGTGGCGTGGCCAATGCGCAAGATTACTCGTCGAGTTGCTTTGAAAAGGTTCAGATGCTTTTGAGTGACCGCTTCAAGGGCTTCTTCATGGTCCCTCGTGGAGACTTGGGTTGGAATTACAATTTCCAGGGTGTCAAGCACAGTGTTGGCATGGACTATTCTTTGAAGTTGGATGTTCCCGACCGTTTCTATGCCGAGTGTCACCGTCCTCACCACTTTTTGACGTTCGTACAAATGGAAGAAGGCGATGACAACGACGGCGCTGATTTGGATGATTTTTTGGATTAATTCTAATGCATAGTTTTTTAAATGGATGTGTTGCGCCAGGATTGAATAATACATAAGACGCATTCAAATTTCTTCGGACTGTACTTGGTTTGCATGCGCCGAGAAACAATGATTCGATCGTCTTCAATCCTCTTTCGTGTGCGCGTTTACTTTGTAACCAAACTTACACGTACTGTCTTTGCTTTTGGTGGGGAATCGTCGCTAGCTAGTAGCCAACGTAGCTAGCGTAGGTTGATCTGAAGCTCATCTGATCTGAACTCTAGTACGACCCAGCGATAGTCTTATCGTTGGTTGCCAGCACATCAAACACACAGTCAACGTGGGCTCTGCTTCTTTCGACCAAGTGCTTGCAGGCCTCATTAGCATCGTCTGTGGTGATCGACGAATCGGTGAGGCGACGCTTGGTCTCTGTGTCCGATGGGAACGCACATGTAGCTGGGTGCTGGGGTTGCTCCAATGTATGGAATAGCTTGGGTTCGTCTGCCAGCACTTGCCATTCCAGCCCAAACTTGTTGGCGTCATCGAACACAGAAGTGCTGTTACGACCGACCCATTTTCCATCGGGAAAAGTTCCCATGAGACCGCGAGCACCCAAGTAGTTCTCGGCCTTCCTTGCCGGAATGGTAACCTTCACGAACTGCTTGTATGTTTGGAGGCCAATGACATCACCCTTGAGATCGATGCGGACATGCAACTGGTGTGAATTCACGACCTTGAAGTGAACCTTCAACTTGAGCGGCGAGAAGATGATGTCGGTTTCGTCTCTGCCCTCAACACCATTGACCCAGAACTTGAAGCCTTGATCTCCACCCTTCACTTCCAGTACATCGTCTCCGATCTGAATGGCGGCAGCCTCGACGTAGCTCCACCAGGTGTTCAACTTTGTACGCGTGTGGATGCGCATTCCGACTCCTCGAAAGTTGGGATTGTCGAGAAGGACAGTGTCTGTACACACGATAACGCGTAGGGTTCGTAAGATCATGCAAGTTGCATTCACTATCACGGGAGAGAGTTAGGTGCTTACCGCAAGCAGCATGAAAGTCGAACTCCTCGGATGCGAATGTCATAATGTGCTGAGAAAAGAAAACAACAAGCGCCAAAACAAAACAAAGCAAGCAAATGAATGAATTCACGAGCTCAGAGCCAAAGTTGCAAAGACACACCCAGACCAATGAACCTACCGGGTCGCCGTATGTTCCAGGGGTTGGGGCAGGGCCAGCGGGAGTGGGTTTGGCTGGTGTGGGCTTTGGGGGAGCGGCTGGAGTTGGCGCGTTTCTGTCAGCGGCGGTAGGCGAGGCTGTGGGTGTCAAAGTAGCACCAGTTGGCCCAGACGTTGGGCCACTTGTAGGTGAGGCTGTGGGTGTCAAAGTGGCACCAGTTGGCCCCGACGTCGGGCCAGCTGTTGGCGACGAGGTTGGGGCACTTGTAGGCTCCAGAGTAGGGAATTCGCCGCAGATCTCTGCTGCTGCAGCAACGTAGTAGTCACAATTTAGGGGATCAACGTTGTACTCTACCTCTGACCCAGTGTATGGAAACTGGCTGATAGGCAGGACATCTCCGCTTTCTGATCCAGGCAAGCGCTCGTCCCCAACATAAAGAGTTGTACTTTTCAGCTGGTACTTGGGGTCGACTTCATAGGTAGCTGTGACAGTGCCATTTTTGTTGTAGACGAGGGTCACGGAACCAACTTTTGTGCCCTGTGGGGCACAATCGACGCCATCAGCAGCCACGTACAAGTCCAAAACCTTTGGCGCCGAGGGTCCACTTCCAGGGGCTGGATTTTCACCCGCCAATGCAGGACAGACACACTGACATTCATCTGCCTCTACGTCCTGCCCGAGGCTTCTCTCGTCGCTTCTCTCGTTGCTCTCGTATCCCGGAACCCTCATGGATTCAATGAGGTGGCGGCGTGCTGTGGGGGCCGGGCAACTGTTACTATAGAGCGTGACCTCGAATTGATCGATTCCGATCGCCAGGGCTCCTTGATCTACCGTATAATCAAGCGAAATATCAATCGCACCCGTCAACAGGGCACTGGGAACATGCACGATGAATTTAAGGATGCTGTCGGCCTCGACCTCCTTCGTCCACGTGATACCTTGGGCAGAACCTCCGGTCGTTGGCTGTTCGCCGCTGTACTCATTCTCCCATGTTTCTATTTCAATGTCCACTCCATTAAACGTCGCAACGAGCCTGTAGTCCTTACACTTGTCGTTCTTGCACTTGTTGTCCCTGAAAGGGTTCCAAACGAAAGGTTAGTTGTCCAAATATGAGCTGATCACTCAATCAAAAAGAACGAAATTACTTGCCAATTGCCAATCCTGTACACCAGGAACTCTACCATGACACTGTCCGTCGCGGCTGGTGTGACAATACCATTGTGTATTGATTAATCTAACGATCTAAGAGATGTAAAGTTTGTATTTCCAAATAAGTGAGCAGTTATTGATTATTGAATTATTTCTAGAATAAGCCTGCTAATTGTAAAGCTGTAAATGAATTGTAAGCTGTATCCCGTCGCACTCCCTTACAGTGAAATGAAGCTGGAGCAAGAACGATAGGAGAGAGTCCCCAGCAAAGCGCTGAGGAAAATACCATCCCATGAGGAGCTTCCGAATGACAGCAAACGTGGAGTGGAAGACCCTTAGTGAAGATGTCGGCCCGTTGTTCCAGAGTGCGGAATATACTTAGCCACGATGCCCTTGACTCCCGATATTGGACCTGAAGAAGTGGTACTTCAATGCCAAATACTTGTTGCGCGCAGACATTTTGGGAACATTCCACAAGAGACAAGCAACCTTGGTTGTCTTCGAACACTGTAGAGCGCACAAGACTGTCAGTAATTACCGGCATATTCAGTTTGCTACCAATTTCTTTGAGCAAAGCTCGCATAGGAAGCAGCTCCCTCATTGACATGCTGAAGGCAACATACTCAGCAGCAGTGGAGCTCAAAGTAATATCAGTCTGTAGCTTGCTGGACCAGATAATAGGGCACCAAACAGAGTCAGGACAAATCCAGTACGGACTTGACGGACACAGGTATCCTGTTCATCCTCATATCCATATAATCCGGCGAAGTCAGCATCGACCCAACAGTCAAGTCCTGATCAAGTTTAGGGCTAAACAAATGCCTTTGTCACTTGTGCCAATCAAATACCGAATGATCGTTTGATTGCTTGAGCAAGGGAATGCTGGGATTGTGACTGAATCGTGCTACCTGTTGCACACTAAATGTGATGCCTGGGCGAGTGTTCGACGCAATATAAAGAAGCATCCCAACTGAAGCTGGATAGCTCCACTCTTCTTCAAATGGGCCCCCAGTTTGTCAGCTCCGAGAGGATCGGTGCGCAGGAGAAAGCTTCTTGCTAGCGTCAGAAATACCAGTATATTCTGATGACTTTATTGATGAGCCCTTTTTGAGTAAGCTCAACATTGTCTCCTGTCTTTCAAAATTGATGGCGAGGAATCCAAAGATGTCACCTTTTTCTTCAATGGTGAGGTCATATCAAGTTTCTGGAGCTGCCCACATAGGACTCAATCAGATATTGTCTGGACTGAGCCAGATTTGGTCATCACAATATTTAATACCATGAGTTATGCTCCTTATGAATAAACAAACATGGGTCTCCTGCCGAGGTTTCGAAACCAATTGGATCATCCCGCGACATAGATGCTCATAAATAATTTAGGTGAATCGGTCTGCCATAGATGGACTTGTCAAGTTTCAAACACAGTCCTGTCCTTCATATCCTTTGGGTCGATAGTACTGAGGCAATTCCATGTACAGTGGCTGTCGACAGGTGAGGGCTTTGACAGAAAGCAAAGTAAAATCAACTTGTCTCGATTCCCATCCATGTGCAGCTGCAAGAAGAAGACCGGCTCTACGGTGGGCCAACCAACAAGTGGAGGGTATGCGACGCCTTCATAGGACTTGAAGGTCTCCTCTGCAACACCATCTAGATTTGACTTATTTAATTGTCCGTCTGGTAACCTCTTAATTCTTTGCACCATGTTCCAGGAACCGCCTTTAAGTGTGAGGGAATAGAAGAACGCTGTACGATGTGCCAAGTCCCTTTGCCTTCAAGGCTGGCATTTTCTTTGTCCATTGCTGCCAGATGATCTGCATGTGGTCCATCAAGATTCCTTCAGAGAGGGGAA